GAAAGCACTTGCAACAACGGAAAAGGTTAAAATGTAAGCTTCAGTTGTCAGACAGCGCTTTATCTGAAAGGTAAATCATTGTCTGTTGGTTTCTGCATTACACAAATCAACAAAGACGTGGTCAAAGTTAACATGCTGAACTTATGTGGTGTTTGAATGAACTAGTGACTTCTTGTTGTTGAATGCTTGATTTCGAAATCTAAATACAGTACATTAGTTCGTGCTCATCTAGTTGTTCTTGATCCACTTACGTTGTTTCTTGGATTATTAGTTCATGCTATAATTCAAATACGTCTAATTATCACATTGGCGTCGCGATGGAGCTTGTAATGGAACAGTTATATATTCATTCAACTTCTGAAGTTTATGAGGATTATTTGGAAAGTTTTGAAATCTGGAGTATGACCAAGAAAGATGTTAAAGATGATAAAATTGTGGCTCATTTCCTAACATTCGTCGGAAAAGAAGCGTACAGCTTATTAAAAACTCTGGCATATCCAGAAAAACCTGTCTCACTTCCCTATACAATGCTTAAGGAGTTATTATTGAATCATGTAAAGTTCCCTGGTTTTGAATGAAGTGAAAGGGCGAAATTTCATAAGATGATTCGTCAAAATGACCAAAAGGTTAAGGAATTCATTCTTGAATTGCAGAAACAAGCTGTCAAATGTGATTTCGGTGATCAACTTCATGTGCAGCTGAGAGACCGATTAATTGCAGGAATTAACATACCTTGTTTGGAAAGAGAGCTGTTAAGAATGTCAAACTGCTCCTTTTAAGATGTTAGAACTGCGTGCATTAATTACGAGGCGTTGAATGAAATTGATATTCAGTCGATGAAGATTTCTAATACTTTGATTAGTTGTCATGATGAAATACAATCTCAGGGTCAATCAAAATTGTGTTCGTTTAACAGTGGTTCCTATTCTCGTGTAAATATGAACGGTGTTTCAATAAAGAATTACAAAGGAAATCACAAAGGTGAGACCAAGTTTGGCAAATGTTTATCATGTGGAAAACTTCATTCTCGTCATTCATGTGCATTTCGCAATGCTAAATGTTTTAGATGTGGTAAGATAGGACGCATTCAAGCAGTATGCAAAGCTACTGTTCATTTTGCCTCAAGTGGTACTAAATCTTGTAATTTAGATCCCAATAATTCAGCTGATCCTAATGATCATTTATCTTTGTCTACCATTTCGAAAGGTAATGCTCATATTCAAAAGCGATTATATACATCGCTTGGTTCATGTCATGACTTTATTGTAGACACAGGCAGTATAGAGTCCATTATTTCATTCAAGAACTTGAAATCGTTAGATCCTAACGTTGTGGTACGACCCACCGAAGTATCAATACTGGGGATAACTGAACACAGACTGCCTATACGAGGATGTTGTGAATTGCTAATAAGAGATGATAATTTCTCATACATAACTTGTGAATTTTTATTTAGCGAAACAGGACTGTCAATACTGGGTTTAAAGAATTTGAAAAGGCTTAAAGTGGAGTTGTCTTTCCTAGTTTCGAAAGAAAATTCTGATGCTTTACTTAAAGATTTGATAGCCACGTGCGCTAAGTGCAGTGGAGGTATGAAAATCCAGCCTATAAAACTTCAAGAACAGGGTGATCCAGTCTTTCTCAAAAGACGAATAATTCCTTGTGGTCTTCGAGATGCAGTGCATAAAACTTTGAATGATTTGTGTGCAAAAGGCATAATTGAACCGGTTCAGTCTTCTGCATGGGGTACTCCTATTGTTACGCCACTGAAATCGGATGGCAAGACTCCTAGAATATGTGGTGACTATAGACTAACATTGAACTCCTGTTTGTTGAAGCAAACATGTATGACGGTAGAGGCTGAAGATATCCTAAATCGACTTCATGGTTCTAAAGTGTTCTCGAAAGTTGACCTAAAAGATGCTTATCTTCAAATCCCTTTAGATCAATCCTCATCTATTTTGACGACAATTATCACGCCTTTTGGTCTGTTTAAATACAATTTCCTTCCATTTGGTCTAAGTTGTTCTACAGCCATATTTCAGGAAGTTATGAATAAGGTGGTTAATGATCTTGAAGGTGTTGAAGTTTATCAAGATGACCTGATTGTTCAGGGTGCTAATAAGGGAGCTCATGACCAGAGACTTATTGATTTATTGCGTCGTCTAGTTGAGAAGAATATTACAGTAAATCCAAATAAGTGTTCATTTTGTGTATCTAGTTTTTGAATGTCTTGGATACCTAGTTGATGGTAATGGTTTTAGACCAGATATGAAGCAACTAGCTCCACTGACAAATGCACCGTCTCCAAAAAATCTTACGGAACTACGTTCACTAGTGGGTGCTCTTCAATACTATTCCCGTTTTATTCCTAATTTTTCTTGTCGTGCAAATTGTTTATTTATAATTTTGACATCCAATTCATTCAGATGTGGTGAGGAACAAGAGTCGTGCTTACGTAGTCTACTAAAGTTTCTTAAAAGTGATGCTGTTCTTCGAACTTACTCCCCTAGTGTACAGTCTGTGCTTATCACTGATGCATCACCTGTGGGTACTGGCGCAGTTTTGGAACAGGAAGGTAGACCAGTTATTTGTGTTGCACGCAAACTTACTGTTACTGAACAAGGCTATTCACAGATTCAGCGACAGGCATTAGCTGTGTTTGGGCTGTTAAAAGACTTCATAAATATTTATTCGGCAAGAAATTCACTATTGTTACTGATCATGAGGCTTTACAGTTTATTTATCATCCTGAAAAATCCTTAGCACATGCCTCAGCTGCTATGGTTCAACGATGGAGTATTGCTTTGAGTGCCTACGACTATACGGTTCAGCACAGGAGTGCCAAACAATTTCAACATGTTGACTACATTTCTCGAAAGTCATTACAAGATAAACCTGTTATTACTTCAGTCTGTTCGTTAGTGAAACCTTTACCAGTCAGACGTCCAGATCTCATTAGAGAAACTCGTAGAAACCTTGGATGTATAATTAACGCTACACGGAAAGGTTGGAACGCTAATCTGAAACGCAGATTCTCTATCTATTTTTCAAAGCAGGATGAGCTATCCACTACTCCTGATGGTATTTTGTGTTTAAATGATCGTGTTGTTATTCCTCCTTCATTGCGTAAAGCTGTCCTGGAAGATCTTCACAGTGGACATTTAGGTGTTGAGAAAATGAAGTCCTTGGCGAGGCTCACGTGTTGGTGGCCAGAGATAAATGCAGATATTTGTCGTACAGCAAACAATTGCGAAAAGTGTCATAAGCTGAAAAATCAGCATTCGAAGTGGACTCCATGGCCAGTATCGTCGGAGGCCTGGCAGAGAATTCATGCAGACTATTGTGGCCCGTTTCTTGGCAAATACTATGCGCTTGTAGTCATTGATTCTTTTTCAAATTGGCCTGAAGTTTTTTTCAAAACATCTGTTTACTGCTCCCAGCCATCCTTGTTCCAATGGTCAGGCAGAAAATTTTTTCAGGACGTTGAAAACTGCTATTGATTCTATTGCCGCCCCAACATTTAATGAGCTGGAGAGGGGAGTAGATACCTTTCTACTGCAACATAGAAATGTCAGACATTCGGTGACGAAAGCGACTCTATCAAAGCTATTAAAAGGAAGAATTCTTCGGTCGAATATGAGATGTTTGGAGTCTGCAGAAGTTACATATTATCGTGGCAATGATGTTCGACCATCCACGGGGACTGTTCTGAAGAATGTCGGGAAATCTATGGTGCGACTTCTAGATATCAATGACTTAAGTACACACAATCGACATGTTGATCAAATACAATTCCAGGAACCAGGTGGGTCTGTTCCAATTTCCGTTGTCAATTCTAATACTAATGAGAGCTTTCTAGATAATACAGAGTATTTATCCAATACACTGTCGGATAGACACAGGATGAATTTGAGAAGAAGAGGTACAACTGATTACAGACACTTGGATTCCAATTTAAGCTGTGGTGGATGTGGTTTTTGAATAAACTAGTGACTTGTTGTTGTAGAATGCTTGATTTCGAATTCTAAATACAGTTCATTCGTTCGTTCTCATCTAGTTGTTCTTGATCCACTTACGTTGTGTCTTGGATTATTAGTTCATGCTATAATTCAAATACTTCTCATCATCATAACTTAACAATCCTAAATCTCAGAAAATTATTCGCGGCTTTTAATTAACAGTTAAAAGAAAGATTTCCACATATTTTTTGCGCTAAGGAAAAATGGAAAACGTTTCAAGGTTCATATTAAGAACTTATATTTATCCGCATGATGCTTCAGAGCAACTCGCGCTACGAGAAGCAGCAAACGTTTTTTACAAACAAGAAATTTATCACGTCAGTTCGCCGGATACGGTTACATATTTTTCTATTATTCTCCTGTCTGACTGGTTAAATGAATGCTTCTGAATGTAACAAGCTATTAAAAGACATTTGAACTCCGGCCACTAATTCAGGTTTGAATTTCTAACTGATAAACATTGAGTTTTATGAGTAATAAACTTTTCTTTCGGTGATTTAGGTTGAAAAAACATCTAGTAGCTGAAGACAACTAGTCACGTTTTATTTATATTGAAGTACAGCCTTTAGATGACCAGTTTAAAAGTGATATGTTTCCCTCCACAGACCTATGTTCTTAAATACTTTACCTTCGACCAGTAACTATCAACCTCTTTGTCTGCGTTTTCAGTTTGTTTTCGTGATATACTGGGTCAATAAAAGTGATCGATTCTTAGTTGTCTATTCTAATGATAATACTCTGAAAACATGGTTACAGTTCATTATTTTGATGCAGTCGAAAGAAATTCGTATCAAGTGAGGGAATACAATACCTGGACTAATGCAGTCCTTCCCTAACTAAAACAGTAATTAAACTGAGATAAGCCGAATGTTTTTGAATTGAAAAATCCAGTTAAAAGATAATCCCTTGTGAATAGAAGTTGGTCCAAACAAGATTTTGAGGGCTTCTGACAAATCGTGTCCGCTTTAAACCTTGGAGGGAAATTTGTGTTCAAGGTCACTGCATCCAATGTGCGTTTAAAAGATACTGGCTTAGCTTCAGGACATCAGACTGCTATTATTTTCCTCGATTTATATTCAGTCAAAATATTTTGATAAAATCGAATCTTGATCAGCCTTGTATTCGGAAATCATGTCGTCAACTCAGGTAGATAAATTGCACCACTCATTGTTTGCTTAAAGTTGGGCTTTTATTTCTTGCTTGCTATGCATACTTCTGAGTTTTTCTCGTCTTATATAGGTGCACATATTTATAAATTCCCAATTTACACTAGACTAGGGAAAGATGTGACGATTTGATTCATCGTTGTCTATGTTCACATCGGACTTACTAAATAATTAGCTCCAAAATCTCGGTAAAGTCACCTTTGGTTTCCCTATTTTTGTATATCCAAAAAGAAAAACAATATATCTGCCAACTACAGGATTCGGGAATTAGATCCTTTCTCAAGTGAATTTTAGTTGTGTTCTAAAACTGGTGGAAGTAATGTGAGGTTGAAAATTAAACTCAGAATTACTTTAGACGTGAAATAAATATTATTTGCACAAATAAATAACCTATCAAAATAAGGTTAACAACTGTCAAAGATATATAGTTTGTCGGACTTCGTTCTTCTGTTTATTTTTCTGACGACATTTCTGTCTTCAGTATTTAAAAAATCGTATGGATGCAGTGGTAAACGTGTTTGGTGGATAAATATTTGAGTAGCACCTGACTTTAGGGACTTAAGCCATGCCCGGCCAACTAGTTAACCAGCCTAATCCGCTGATTCACCTGTGTAAAGAATAGTTGTTTGTTTTTCACTTTCTTACTATTATATAGCTTCCAAAAAATGTATATTTTTAGATAACACACGTAATTATTGCTCATTTAACACTTCCCATTCATTGCATTGTTTACGACTTGGAATTGTTTTATTACGTGGTTTGTTCGGTGCATAATATGTTATTGCCAGTACATATTTGAAATGATGATAGGACTAACAACTGTTATAAACTACTAATCACTCTTCTTCGTGGCTATCAGTGACGTTCCTTCTAATCCACTTAAATCATCACTGAAATTTTAGAACTATAGTGATAAAAGTTGAACCAAGAATAAAACGCAGCCGATAAATTTGTGTATCCCCAGCAACTGCGTACAATTTTACTGTTAATTAATTGGGAAATCCGGCTACTCAAATATTTACAAAGAGATTCATACCTGTAACATTGCAAGATAATATTATAGCTATTCTTATTGTCATCACTATTGTGCATTGCCCATTTTATATATTTAGATAAGGAGCTATGTGGCGGAACTTTCTAACTTAAAAGACCAATTCAACACCCTTTCTAATCAGTCCAGTGAAAAACTTAAGAAGATTATACAAACTGTTCAGTCTTATCAAACACGTATGGAGCCGTTAAATAAAAACATGGGACAACTTCAGATATTACAGAGAAGTTAGTTTTATGTTCTATCTGCATACCATTCTTGAAATTTTTATTTATCGACAACCAAATGTTGGTGTATAAAACTACTAATAAAATAAATGTAAAACTACCATATTTAATTTTTAGTGAAGATCTGGCTAGTTACTAGACTTGACTGTGATATCTCAGCTACTTGGTTGCTAGTCACTTCGTCATATGTTCCGAACTATACCGTTTAATTATTTTTGGTCAACTGTTAGATCTCAACGGTCTTTTTTAGTGTTGTGAATACTAATTTATGAAACAAAATATTTTATTATTTGGATGAGCCCACTAAAAGACATTTTCCCTTAAGAATTTTGACTCAAGGTCGCCATATATCTCGTCTGACCTTAATGTAGTAATGTTTGCTTAGGAATTCCACCAAGTCCGTCTTGTTGTAGAACTACTGTTGAAGTGTCATACCAATTTTTTCCACAGGTATGCGGGTTCCAAGCAAGGGGATTGAGTTTCAGTACGTAAATTCAACAATAGTATGCACCTTAGTTGGTTACAAACAGGAGATTTGTACTATTTGCTTCATAACTTGATATCACATTTTGATTTGGTCAAATATGACACCATCATTTTATTACATTCCACATTGTTTCTGCGTGACTGGATTTCCTCATTATTTATCCTGTAAGATAATATGTTAAGTGATTTATTTCCTATATTTTCAATTTGCATAGATTTAGAGTCCTGTCGATTAAAGTTAAGTCAAGTGCAAGAGTATCACCGTACCGGTCGCGAACTGGAAAATACTATTAGACAAGGGTAATTATGCATTATATATATAATGAGAAAATTCTGATTTCCGTTTTATTACTTGCAGACCAACAGTTTCTACTAATAAATTTTTAAAGGCTATGGAACGTATAAAAGAGGCATTGGTTTACTTCCAGGAAAATAATCCACAAGATGTTGAATTTAGTCGACTGGTAAGTGATTTCGGAGCACTATCAGCCACTTTTCTGTGCAGCTAATTATTTTTATGCTTAATTTTTTCTTTGTTCGTATTAAATTGCTTATGTACTCCTATTTTCAATTCTTTTTGGTGCCTAGACATCATTATATTCAGTTGGTTTAGGAAGCTTGGAACGTGAATTTGACGGTTTATTGAAACAAACTTTCCGTCCCATGAATGATGCTACTTTGATAAGACTAATGGATCAGAAAGGTGTGTTTCCAGTCATTGTTTTTAACACAAATCCAAATTTTTCTATCACGTTTCACATTTTATTATAAATAATCCCTCATAAATGCTTTTCTCTCTCAACCTTAATCGCATTAATACTTTGGGAAAACAGATACGAGGTATAAATCTAGTTCTTTCGTGAGCTAGTTATGAGACTACCTCACTCATTCAGTATACAGAATTTAATTCCTTTTATTGAAGGGAGAATTGTTCTCAACTTACTTTTTTGTTATTTTATATCCACTAACTAATTTCCATACCAGCGAAGGTATCATCTGTAATATCTTACCAATAAAAAAATTAATGAAGGCAGTTTGATTGCATCCTATAACTCTTTCACTCATTTCTACTCATAAAAAATGACTTATCCAACTGTTCACCTGTTTTGCTTCACCGTACAGATATATCTAATGGTTTAATAACTTCCAAAAATGAACCTGCTCTATCCAAGATATATTAATCCAACTGTTTGAATTTAGTCCTGTTTGACAGTCACTCTTCTGTTGTCTTATTTTATAATCCATTGAAAGTAAAAGTTGCTCACCATATGCCTAAAATTTATTCACAGCTCCTCTATTATTATTAAACTACTAATATAATTCACCAAGCAAGTTCAAGCTTATGTACTCAGCTTTAAGCTGTACTCTTGTGTCAGAGCTAGTAGTATTAAATGGCTGTTGGTTTTAGTTACAGGATATTTCATTTACAATCTACTCTTTCATTAGAAAACTGATTTGATTTACATTCACCCTTTAAATTTTAGTCTCTGACAAGGAATCAGGAGATGGTTCATCAAGTGATGATTTAGAACAACTAGAAGATATTCCAAATGATATGTTGAATAGTTTACGCTTTCTTGCTAAATGGATGAGTGAAAATCAATCATTTGTAAACAAACCACAAGGTATATCGCAAGGATGTTTAACAAAATATTGTGAATGCCGTCGTGAACTTATCCGTGTAAATTTAATAAGGTAATCATATAATAATGTGATAAGTTTCATTTTATCGATTAAAGTGAAATTTCGTGTAGGAAATATACTAATAGATTTTCTTTTGAAGTTTTTTACAGGATCAAAGTTTTTCTTCAATAAAAATAATATAGGCTTCAGTGTTTGAGATGGCTTTAGCAACTTCTAATGTATCCTATATGGGAAATAAATGTAATCATCAAAATCCTGGTAGATCCAAATACTGTCTCACTGATTAAAGAGCTTAAGTTTCAGACACGAATTTGCAGCTTCAGATCCTTGTTCCACCAGCTCTCACAATTAAATTGTGACTGCAAGCCATGTATGCCTGTCTATATGTGGTAAATGATAGGAGTCCAAACAAGTTTTGAAAGTGTCCAGTTCTAAATAAGTGGGGAGAAATTCATTTCGTTGATTAGGTTGGGAAATTAAATATTAATATTAAATAAACGACTTCATCCTTTCAGTACAGTATGACATTAGATTATATAATACAGTTTTATAAATTAAAGAATCTGGACGAAAATATTGGTCCGCGTATTCTATGGGTGCTTGGCGGCCAAAATGGTTGGTTCATAACCGTTGAGTTGCAGCCTCGAACTTCGCTCTACATACTTCAGGTTGGATAATTGAGAAGTAGTATCATTAAGTTTTGACACTGCTTTGTATGATGTACTACACATCGTTTGAAGTCTAATTCTGTAATACAGAACTTTTTAACGCTCAATGTATGATCAAAGAAAACATATTTTGTATACGTTTTATGGCTAGAGACAAACTCCACTGTCATATGGCATTATGACCCCGGACCTGGCAACTTATCAGAATAAGACGAGAGTTACCGCTTTCGCTATCATGATCCATGATGGCTGCCATTTTTCTTTCTCTTTGGTTTTTTGCTATCTTATCAATTTCACAAGAGGAGTGTATAATGCTTGGATGTGACGGGATATCGTAATCTATGGATGACTTGACTACGTGAAGTTTATTCCATCCGTTATTACTATTATTATTAACTTTACTATTTAACCAATAAAACTTATTTTTTATATTATATGGAATATTTTCAGAGTACGAGAATTATTAAGGAAAGCTGAAAATCCATCATCATCATCGTCATCTGGTACAGTATCTGTAAGTTTATTGATTATTTTTTTATCTTTAATAACCGTTTTTTTATTAGATATAGAATTTGCTTTTTAAATTGGTGATACGTTTTCTGTATATGTATTTTTAATCATTTTTAGAAACCAGGATTTCTTCCACCGAATGTACGTGGTCGTGCTAAACGGTAAGTATTCAACTTTCTCTTACAGTGTTTTATAATTATTCCACTGTACATTATGACCTGATTAATTTATTTTCTCCGTATATCTTCCTACTACTGAATAAAATCACCAAACAAAATTAAAAAATTGATTATCAAAAGTTCTACGTAAATATTCTAAATTAACTATTTTGTTTGGAACAGTAATCATTCTGTAGTGTGCGAACTAATATGTTGAACCCACTGGGTCTGTCCTAACTTTTAGGTTAACTAATTAACCTTTTCTGTTCTAGCTGCTATTCACGCGTCTTTTGACCCTGTCAATTATTCGCTCAAGTGTATATGTGTGCATTGTTTACTTCCCTTAACAGATATCTACTTTATTTTTGTCTGACTATAAATACTTAATCATGCCTTGCGACAGTGAGTTAGCTCACTCATCTTCTGCACTTCTCTTCGCTTTGCTTTTACGCCTTTGATTCTCATGTCTGTCTGCGTGAAGAATTGCATAAAATACTAACCACCGACTGCCTCGTCGAGCTTTGTTTTGTAGTGTAGGAATAGGTTGGAAGAAAGCTAGGAGCGGCCAGACCAAAACATGGCAGAAATCCATGAAGTCATTGACCAGTGGACTGAGTCATGTCGGGAGTTGTCGACTACCTGGTTGGGGTCCGCAAGATGATGATGATCGATGGTTAGATACCTTGAATGACATGGCTCAAAATCGTTTGCAATGACTCAAGTGTATCCATTCTTTGAGCTCTCTCAAATCCTAATCTTCTGGATTCGTCAGCAGCTCTACCTTTGTCTTTTAACCTTATCTCACTGAATTATACTTCTTGAATAATATCTTCAAACCCTAGTCTTCTTCATTACCATTTATGCCTCTACTACCTTTGATTTGACATTTGCGTCTCTGTGCTAATGTGTTATGGCAACATGAACTGATGTACTTACGTACGAAGTTCAACGTTGCAACTGACTGACTGAATTATTTATATATGATAACTACACTCTGTACACAGTCAATGTATTTAAAACCTTAATGCATAGATCTATTTAAATTGTATAATAACAATTCAGAAATATTATTTTCGACACCATATATATTCTATAAAGGTATATTATGATAAGTAGGATTAAAACTTATTCGACAATAAAAATTAATGATGTATTCACAACTAAAGAATTTTTTGAATATCATTATTAGAAAACTTTGGTGTTGTTACTTTCTTCTGAGGTTACTAGCTTAATTGTAAGGCTTTCACTGTCTTTCTAAACACATCATTATTCACTTCTTTTTATAGTTTATGCCTATCCTAGGTAATCTTGCTGATCTCTCGAGTAATTAAATAATATACATGATTAGTTGTCTTTTCTGTCTATTTGATTTTATTTCAGCCTTCCTGGATTTGTTTGGGATAGTAAGTCATGTTTCAGTTCCTATACTCTTAATTAATAATGAGGTTAAAAGAAAATAATCAATCTTTTTATTTATTTATTTACTCACCAACACTAAATTTTATTTGACAGCAGTGTGATTTATTGCACCATAATTACTCATCATCATATTTATATCTGTGTCCCCGGGATGCTGTCCGGATGCTTTGTTCGAAGTAGTTTATTTTCCTAAAAGACCACTGAAGTAGGTTTCTATACCATTCGTTCCCTCAGGATCCTCGAGTCACTGTGCATGATTCTTTTTGAAAGCGAAGTTTTCCACCCTCTATATTCATCAACCCGGTTTCAATGTTCGATATTCTCTTTAGTCCTCTAAGTCGCGTAAAAAGCACCTATGTGGTAGTTTTAACTAAGAGTTCTCTGGCACTGGCCATATAAGTCTGGCTGTGTGATAGCATTGCTTGAGAGATAACAGAATCCTCCTAGTGTCTATCATGCGAGGTTTATTTTGAGGCTACGATATCTTTGGATTTTCATAGTAACTCGGCAATAGTGACAAGCATTTTCTTTACTTTTTATTCTACTTAAATATTAACGTTTTAGAATAAAAAGGGAAAGGTGTATTTGTGAACTAAACTAACAGTTCTCAGTCAGTCAGTCAGATGCAACGTATAACTTCGTACGTAAGTACATCAGTTCATGTTGCCATACCACATCAGCACAGAGACGCAATAGTAGAGGTATTAATGGTAATGAAGAAGACTAGGGTTTGAAGATATTATTCAAGAAGTATAATTCAGTGAGATAAGGTTAAAAGACAAAGGTAGAGCTGCTGACGAATCCAGAAGATTAGGATTTGAGAGAGCTCAAAGAATGGATACACTTGAGTCATTGCAAACGATTTTGAGCCATGTCATTCAAGGTATCTAACCATCGGTGATCTTCGTCTTGCGGACCCCAACCAGGTAGTCGACAACTCCCGACATGACTCAGTCCACTGGTCAATGACTTCATGGATTTCTGCCATGTTTTGGTCTGGCCGCTCCTAGCTTTCTTCCAACCTATTCCTACACTACAAAACAAAGCTCGACGAGGCAGTCGGTGGTTAGGCATACGCAACACATATCCCAACCACCTCAACTGATGAAGTTTCATAACTTCATCTACTGATCTGCCATCCTTACCTAGTACTCGTTTCTTAACAACAGCATTGCTTACTCGGTTGTCCCACGATATACGAGCAATGCTTCGAAGACACCTATGATCGAATACTAGTAACCTACGAATATCTTCTACTCTTAACGGACATGTTTCACAGCCATATAGGAGAACGGAGCGAACTGTTGCGCAGTACACCCGTCCTTTGATTAGAGAACGGATATCACGCCTACGCAATAAGTGACGCAGGTTGGCAAAAGCCAATCGAGCCTTCTGTATCCGAGCTGAGATTTCGTCAGTCACCAGGCCATCGGCACTGATGAGACTCCCAAGATAAGTGAAGCGATCAACACGCTCCACTACTTCACTCCCTATCACTAGTTCAGGTGCCGATGCAACCCAGTCTTGAAGCAACATTTTGCATTTCGAGGGGGAAAACCGCATCCCGAACATGCTCGCATTGTTGCTTATGGTAGTCAGAAGACTGCATTTTTTCAGCGTCTTCACCAAGTAGGACTATGTCATCGGCATATTCTAAGTCGATAAGCGAGCCTCCTGGTAAAAGGTCTACTCCAGAAAATTCAGACGAGGATAAGGTTATTTCTAAGAGCATGTCTACGACAAAGTTAAACAAGAATGGAGAGAGTGGACATCCCTGACGGACACTACTTGATGTAGAGAATTCAGATGACAGTTAGCCATAAGCTCTCACTCGACCAGTAGTGTTCGAGTAGAGTGCTTGTTTGAGGTTAATGTACTTCTTTGGTACACCTCTCAATGACAGACACTGCCACAGAACCTCACGATCCACTGAGTCGAATGTCGCTTTTAGTTTCAGGAACACAACTATTGTAGGACGTCTAAATGTGTGTCTGTGTTCCAGGACCTGTCGTAGTGTGAAGATGTGGTCTATACATCCACGTCCAGGTCGAAAACCAGACTGGTTTTCTCTAGTCTGCTCTTCATGAGCTCTAGTTAGACGTCTAAGTATAATCGAGGCTAACAGTTTAGGAACTATATTAGTTGGACTTATTCCCCTGTGATTGTCACAAGAAGACTTTTGTCCCTTCATATAGATTGGGACAACCAGTGATTGAGACCAGTCGGATGGGATTACGTCCAGTTCCCGAATTCTCCCTAAAATCTCAGTCAACCTAGCTGCTAAAACTGGACCACCATCGTTAAACATCTCAGGGGTCAGTCTATCAGGACCTTCAGCTCTCCCTCGCTTCAGATTTCCTAACGCTTTCTCAACTTCATAAAGAGTCGTGGGACTTAAATCGATTTGCCATTCAGGATGACTGGAGATCGTGGGTAACCGAAGAGTGGCTCGAGGCCAGTTGAACTGATTCCTAAAGTGTTCTGCCTATCGGTCCAGTCTTCTGGATGGAGAATGAATAATAAGACCATCCTTTCTCGTTATAGTCTCACACTTGGGTTGCTATTACCACTTTCCTTGATGAGTCTAAATAGTGGCCTACTGTTGCCTAACGCCGCTGCCTTTTCCATCTCTCTCGCTTTCTCCGCACACCTTTGTTCTCGATCATTGTGTACGCTCTTTGTTAGCCTACGTCTAAGCTGATTACGCTCCTCAAAGCCAGACGGGATGCATTTTCGAGCACCCATCAGTACGGTAGATGCTATTGACATCCACGGCTTCATCCTGGCCTTATGGTTTACCTTACTAGAAGATATCACTGCTGTTTCCACAGCCTTCTTGATATCATACCAACCTGCCTCTGGATGGGAATCGCTTACATGGTTGCTTAACTCTGTTTCTACTTGCTCCTGAAATATTTTCTTAGTTTGTTTATCATTGAGTAAAACTCTAAGAGGCTTTCTTACGGTGTCTTTCCTACGCCCAGTCAGCCTCAAACAAATACGCGCTCACACTAGGGCATGGTCTGAATCTAAACATGTGCCCCACAACGAGCGGCAGTCCTCTATCGAACTCCTCCATCGGTGGCTGATGGCGATTTGATCTAGTTGCGTCCAACGCTGAGACGACTTTGAAGGTCGCCAGATCAATAGATGCTTTACCTTATGCTTAAAGTTAGTGTTTGCTAAGAATAGGCGGTTATCTGAGCATAATTGCAACAGACGGTCGCCATTGTCTGTTCTCTGAACCGCGACACCATAACATCCACTTAGGTGTCTTTCATTTTCACTCAGTCTACCTACTTGAGCATTAAAGTCACCAGCCATTATTACTACATCGGGGCGCCTAGCTTTTTGGAGGAGGTCCGAAAGCTTTCTGTAAAACCCATCTTTAACCTCGTCTGAACTGCAGTCAGTGGGAGCGTAGGCAGATACGACGAAGAGGCAACGGCGGGTGTACCTATCCTTCCGAGTCCTTACTGTCCTGTCTAATCGGACGGCGCACAAAGGACTATCTGCAGGGATCCAGTCAAGGAGAGATTGTTCAGCTCTACAACTCGACGCTATGCCTACGCCAGCAAGACCTCTGGAAGCAGCATCAGGTCTTCCGGATGCACGAAGAGTAAATCAAGCTGCTTCTTTATTTTGACAAGGCGAAATCAGATTAATGACTTTACTAGGATCCTGTATGCGCGTTTTCTAAAGTCCTGGCTAAGGAAGTTTGTTGCCCTATTTGACATAATGTACGTACATTCAATGCTCCAACATGTAATCTAGAACGAGGTTTCAAGAGACCAGGAATGACTTTTCGTGAACTCGCATCGTTTGCATTAGCGGTGCAGTGAGAAAAAGGACTGTGAGTAGAGTTCGTTGTGGAGAGAAGAAAAGTATTAGGGGGTGTAGGAAGGATTTGATTTCGACCAATTTGGTCTCTCGTGCTTTTACGTGTATGAGGGCGGTTGTCACTTCCCGGCCGCCCACACCGTGGAAGGTTGTTTCTTGAGGAACTTGAAAAGGAAGATAGATTAATGTTGGTCTTGTAGACCTGGGTGCGTGACCGCAGAGCCCAAGGGACAACTGCTTGAGGCCGGTCACGCACGGCCTTTTTATGAAGGGTTTTTTGAGTATTAGCTCCGCTCTTAAAAGGCCCTTAGTGGGCACCCTTACCGCCGGAGACGGAAATCCGTGAGGTAGGGTGAGGTGTGACATTTTTAGGGTCAACCTTTTCTAACCCCCACCTTCCTTGTGAGAAGGCAGCATCGCTGAAGATGCTGGTTGTCCGAGGGAAACACCTTACTGCTGTCATACCCCACTGCAGTCAGCATTACGACTTCGCCCTCAGACCTTGTGTAGCTGCTTTTAGTCTCATCGTTCTCCAATTGACCAGCCTGGCATGGTAGAACCTTGAGGAACATATTTTTTAGCCAGTATAGCTCGGTTGGGTCATGCCGATAGTCAAGCCCGACCATCACGTCAAGGTAGCAGCTACGGTCGGGACTAACAGTTCTAAATATTCTATAGTCTTTGTTTATGAAAAGTGTTCTGAAAATATGCGGTTCGTTTTTTATGATAACAGTAGCCCAAGAGTTTTGCAGTTCATCTGTTTTTTTGTTTAATATGATCTAGGATTATTATATTCTTCTCTGTGATTTAGCATCTTTGTTATCTGATTATCACATGATTAGAACGTGAAGATTTCTAATAGGAGATTTGTTCAACTACAAGTGATATCATGTTATAAAAGAATAAAAATCAATACTTGTAAAGATCTAAGCAAAAGTACAAACTCTCCATAGAAAGTTTGATTACGTACTCAGTCATTTTGTAGTAGCATGTGTTAAAGACAGTTTTTATCCATAAACCAACGTTATTTGGAGAGTCACTGAAAACCTCCTTGCATATTGGAACTCTCTAATAGTGTACAACCAAGACTCTATACAGATTCTAACACAACACCAAGTTTGTCACTGGTTCACATTTTTGATATCTGTCAGTCCATAACATAAAGCAATTTCGATACACTATCGTCAACAATTTTCCATTTCAATCCCGATTTAATTGAATTCACATATCACAGCCTCCTACTAAAAATGCATATCGAAACAAGTTAATTAGTGAACACGTTGTTGTTATTGATTGACAGGCCATATGATCGCGCTAACGTTGACCAATGATAATCCAATCTACTGTAAAACTTAAAGCTTCCGGATTTAACTTGGTTTTGTGAGTGTTTACTGCTAAAGAGTAACAAACTTCAAAGTCTTCAATAATTGATAATGGAAATTGAAATCAAAACATTTACATGCAACTACTTCATTTAATACTTCATATTATTTAAACATTTAATTTGTATAAAATGTGAACCACTTCTTTTCAATTAGCTTCTCATCATTGTCGTTTACTAATTTTAGTTGCTTTTTTTACAAATGATATTCCACAAATGATGATAATTCACAAAATAAAATTGAAATAATAATTGTGAAATCTGGCAAAATTATTACAAAATAAAAATAGCTTAAATGTTTAAGTAGATAATTGATCAGTTGAAAGTTTACAAAATTACTGATTTGATAATTATCGATCAGCAGTATAGATTAATGAAGCCTTCATAAGAATAGTTGCTGTTAACCATTAACCGAAACAGACTGAACAGGTTTTGAAGCCGTTGTTTAGTTGGTCGATGTTAACCATCCTAACCACTGAGCTATTAAGTTCGTAAAAAAATCCACAAAATTACCAGTCATTGTTTGTAAGTTATTTCACGAACACGTCAATACTATAATTAAAGCCAATATTATTAGCTTGAGTATCGTTGAGTTTTTATTTCTCCAGTTCAATTATTCATATAATTTTCGAATGTACTTGAAGAAGTATTTATATTTATGATTAGTTGACAAAAATATCATGAAAGCAGTTGTGTAAGACATAAATAATTGTTGGTAGATGCAGTATTTTTCAAAATTCAACCTTAATCAGCCTAGGAATAGGATATTTTTTTGAGAATGTTAAACTACTCGAGCTCAGATAAATTTAGTTACATAAAATGTGCATCTCCAGTAGCTGACTCTCGACAAGGACATATTGTGAAGTCCCTCATTGGGACGAATCAGTTATCTAGTAATCTCCGAGATTCATTAGTCTCCGAAACGTGATCAATGTGTAAAGAGTAAAACCTACTAGTTCTTTTCAATTATTATCTATAAATATTTTGCTTTCTATTCATTTATATATTTATATTTTATGATTTTATCCATGTTTTCTTGTAATATAATTTCTAACTATTACTATTCGCTTTTTTGATTTCATAGTAAATGCTGTTCGATTGATTAATGAAACAGAAACTAATGAACTTGATTCTGAACATTATGCTATCGCTCTAGGTGTTCTTGTCAAATTAATGCAAGTCAGTGTACATGTTAAATAGTGTATCATTGATTTTTTGAAAATTCTTTTCAATTTTTATCTTATATAATAATCGTCTATTGAAGATGAGATGTTGAAATTGTATCTTTAGAGAGTAGTCCTACATTGGTTATAGCATTCAATCTTCATCTATGATCTACTGATTAAATCGTATACTTTCCAACTATTTATAGTCGCAATGTTGAACCTGGTTTTTCACAATCTCATGATATCTTTTGACATTTGACAATAAGTATAGTTTCAAAACTTGAACTGCGTAAATGTGTACTGACAGATATTATCTAATTATTTTATCAAAGATTCAAAACTTATTCCTTTGATTTGATAAAATTCCATTATAAATTGTATTCATTCAAAATGAATCATTACGTAAACAGAATTATCTTCTAAATTTCATACTTTTGATGATTTTGTTCAAGTACTGACCAGTTGTAAGCCATCAAATATAGTTTGACTCATCAATTGTAAGCCATAAATTCTACCATCTCTTAGTTTTTTCAACAATACTTTCAGTTGTTGTTTTTTACGTTTGTGATAGTAGTTTTTTTGAAATCATGAGTCGATCAATGCTATACCACTGTTATAAACCTGGATGCACTGGACGGCCATTTCGTCCTAGTACGAAACCCATCAGCAGTGCGCATCCACGACTTCCGCTTGCGGGAGTACTTCCAAGTTTCTAACATTGACTGATTCGTGATTTCAAGGAAACTCAACAATCTCCACAATCCTATGATGAAAATAGTAGTTTTCCACTACTATTCATAACACCATGGTAACTGTCTTCCACAGATTATTATTATTTTATTATTTACGCATTATTTTCTAGAATGAATGTGTTTTGTTGGATCGTTTACAGTTGACTGCTAATCCACAAGATTCCCAAGTATTATTGTTCAACATATTTAAAAATGGATCATCTGATATTCTAACTGAAGGAACAGTAAGTGTGCTTCTTTGATTCTCCTTTTCAATAGATCATATTAAAATACCTAATATCAGTACTAGTTAGTCAGTAGTTTTAAAGTATATTATTGTAATTAAAAATTATTATAACAGGTTATTGAAGACCACTAGCATAATGGAAACCCTTCACTAATATTCGAATCACTTAATTACCTAATTATAATCAACATCTTTTCCCGCCCCGTTGTTCACGGCTTCTTTAGTTTCAATTTCATCTTGGCTACCAGCAAGTGATGATCTGAGGCTCTTCTGTTGGTTCGTATATTCTCAATAATCCTTCTGAACTTTTTATTGATACAGATATGGTCAATTTGGTTCTGTGTAGTGTGATTCGGTGAAATCCATGTGGCTTTGAGAATGTGTTTATGTGGAAATATGATGCCACCGATGACCAGTTTGTTGAAGGCACATAGGTTTGTAAATCTCTCACCGTCTTCGTTCCTTTCTCCCAGTCCATGTCGTCCCATGATGTCTTCATATCCAGTGTTGTCCATGCCAACCCTGGCATTTAGGTCTCCCATAAGAATCGTCAAGTCCTTTGTTAGGCATTTTTCAACTATTGACCGCAGCCTTGATCTTTAACATCATTGTAGTCGTCGGTAGGTGTATGACATAGGATGACTCTCACTGTAAAGCCCTCTTTCTTTGTTTTGAAGGATGCTTTGATGGTCCTGGATCCATGAGATTCTCATCCTACCAGTACTTTTCGTTCTTGTTTTGATAGCATCAGTGCAGCTCCTTGTATGTGGGGCATTCTCTTCTTCATGATCGGAATATAACAGCAGTTCCCCTGAAGCTAGTCTCAGTTGTCCTACCTGTGTCCAATGTGTTTCACTGATTCCAAGAACCCCTAGGTTGTATCTTTTCGTTTCTTCAGCAACTCGGATTTCGCTCCTGGTCTCCCACAATGTTCGAACGTTCCATGTACCTAAAGAATGGTTGCTCTAGTTGTCAGAAGGGGCATAGGCCTCGTAACTTCTAAACAGACTCGGCTTTCATCATGAGACGTCATAACTCTTCTGAATGAAGACCTAACTCTCGGGGCGGAGTTAAAATGGTTTGAATTATTTTTTCCAGTTAGCGTTTTTTATCGAGTTAGTTTGATACGGGATGGGCTCTCTAATCTTATTCCCAACCCTCCCCCTTTATTCGGACTTGGGACCTGCTGTAGCCCGAGAGGGGCTGCAGGCGGAGGTTTTTGCACGTAGTGTTGATTTAAATATATAGCTTTGGTTTAGGCGTTCCCACCTGATTTAATCCAAGCGTATGACACTTTAAAACTTTGTAATTAGAACTTATTATACTAGAGTATAATTAGGAGTAGTATTCGTCACAGAATTACACACAATTCAAAGTAACATTGAATATGGACAAGCAATTACCAGCTGTTTCTTTCTAACGTAGAACTCCTTACAGTGGTTAAGATTTCACCATGATACATGAAGGTTTTGAGTTTGATCTGTGGGTCGGCATTCAGTAGTATACATTTCTAACTTCAGTCGATTCGTGATGTGACGCAACAATCGTTTAATGCCAGTGGTAACCACTGTTTCAATCCCAGCGTGTCTAAACTCTACTGGTCACGAATGTTTACCTGAACTTTAGAAATAATTATCTCGGAGTCACTAGTGAACATGATTGTAGTGTTATTGAGTTAACTATCGTCACGGAAACTAGGTCGTGTGTTTTTTTATGTTTATTCTGTTCAGGATTCTGGTTAATTAAAAAAACATTGCAGAATACTATTGAATATTTTTCACTAGGTGTTTTATGCGAAACTTGACAAATCAATATCTTTATGCTGTTTGATCACAATCTCAGTTATTCTTCCAGTCTATGTTTCAGTCAATATCACATGCAGTTATCACATGCGTTATTTTCTTAAGCATTACACATTACACATTATCTGTCTATGCCGAAATTTTCGATAAACCTTTGTGTTTTCATCCATTTTGTTTCCTAGACATCCCTTTAAGGAATTTCTTATTTATTTCATCATTTATGTAATATAATTCATGTGCAATAAGCATTAGATATTATACATGATTCAGTAATATTTTCATGATACTTTTGGTTTTCTTTTCCAATCTATCTTTACTATAGACTTTAACTCGTTTAATGCATCGAGCTCAAGGGAGAGCAGAATTTCATATGGTTATGTCATTATTAGTAGTACTTAAAAAATTCTTTCAAATATCCAATGATCTTGTATCTGTACTTCAGGTGAGATAATTATTTTGATTGTTAAGGGTTCTGTTATTCATTAATTAATGAAAAAGTATACATTCATTCTGTATTTAAATATACTCTCCGAAACTGAAATCCGATATTATATCACTACTTGACTAAAATAGTAAATGCATCCAGTAGTTTTTTATCTATGAATATTAAAAATGTTGTAATTCATTTATAATTGTTTGTTTGAATCTTTCCATTGATGTTTAAGATTACAATCTATCAGTCTCTTTTGGTATATATGTGTATCGTATGCTAATTGCAGTCATTATGTGCAGAGAGATGGATGGTGCCTAACAGCCCATTGGCGTAGCTGGACTAACTAGTTAAGTTGATAAGGTGATAAGGTATTTGAAGAGAACACTATTGAGTTCGAGTCTCGAGGTGAACATAAACTCTGAGATGTAGGTATAATCATCTGACAAAACACGCATCTTGGATTCCACTTCTAACCACTATCCATTTATGCCTTAAGCATAGTTCAAATTTTATTACAAATCATGGACATGTACAAATTAAAATGAGTCCCATACCTGAATGAAACGGCCGTCCAGTGCTTCCAGGTTTCTAGTGGTGATCAAACATTGATCGATCCATGATTTAAAATATGTAACTTAACAGTCTTCACAACCCCGTAATGCAATCACCTGTGCTCACTAATGACTAGCTCCGTGAGGAATCGTCTCTGAGTTCTAGTGGGAAGTAGTGACCAGCGAAGTTCAACCTGTTCCGGTGTAGACAGTAACCATCGAAGACAGTGTATGAGGTTGCGCAACTCCGTAAATTGATCGAACTTAGACATTAACACCGTTCGATACCGGCTCAGTGGTCCAGAGGTTAGGCGTTCGCGCGCAATACCGTAGGTCCTGGGTTCGAATCCTGCTAGGTGGAAGAGCCGTGGATGCGCACTGCTGATGAGTCCCATACCATGACGAAACGGTCGTCTAGTGCTTCCACGTTTCTAATGGTTATAGATTATAGATTATATCAGTATTTTATGGAGTAAAATTATTAATTTTGTTGATAAAATAATTTTGTAGACATATATATATATGATAACTTTTTATGCTGTTTTAATTTTTTTGATTTAGGGTGTAGATAATGTATTGGTTGATTTTAATCAGTTAGTTCTTCGTTTATTAAGTCAAAGTAAACTAACACTAGAAACTTATGTACAATTTTTACAACAAGTCACAGAAAAATCTAGTTCAAGTAGTAATATTGTACCTGCAGACGGAACAATACATGAACTTACAACTAATGTAAGTGTAAATTCATTGAAAGTGTATTACGTTTTAATGAATATTAACAAATATGTCGTGTTTTTTTTTCATCCACTGTTCAAAACTTGTATGGATTTGCGAATAACGGACTTACATTGTAAAGACTGTTTAATTTTTGGCTCTGTTGTTACTCCTTGATTCGATTCCAATTTGCAGGTATAAATATACCATGAACACAAACCTTTCGTTGAATTCCGTATATGTGACAGCCGTATTATGAAGTCAAATATGGACTAATTTGGGTGGGTTTATTTCTGGGGTTCATTTAGTCAGACGGACACTAAAATGAGAAGTAGGAAATTAAAGCGAAGTGTAAGTGATAATCGTTCCGACTCCGTTCGTTAAAGCAAAAATAAGCGAACGACAACTGATGAATAGAGTAAGCGATACACTCGTATACATTCACATAAAAACAATGAAGGTTACCAGTGAGTAATTGAAAACGGTCAAAACATGCATAGATAATATTTTTTATAGATAATATTTCTTATTTAGTTTTTCCTAGCCACTCCTACTTTTTGTGAAGTATACATTTCAGAAAAATGCAATTTTTTGTGATTGATATTACTTACAGACTAAAATACTATTATTCATTACTGTTTTTCTTTTTATGTAACACACATCTGTACGACAGTATTTAAAATGTAAATACTAGGAATCTAGTTTTAGTCTCCCTTGCTAACTACTTCGAACCATCTCACGAACCCCCTTATTAAAAATCTAAATTCTAATTGGTACCTATTAATTGATACATCTCAGCATTGTTGGTACGTTCATTGAACTGAATATATATATATATATATATATATATATATATATCTGTAATTGTTTATTTCCTCATTGACTAGGCATTGATGTATTTAGAAAACCTATTAGAATTTGCTGATATTATTGGCACTACTTTGTCATTTACTGAAGCTGGTCCACAAGCTACTACGAACACATTGAAATATCTTACTACTATTAATCAAAATCATACATTTTTGGAAAATAAATTTGGAAATTTTTTATGTAAGAATTATTTTATTATTTTATATGATAAGTTCGTCTTTTTAAAAAAAATTTATATTTTGTTATGTTGACAATCAAAATTATCAGTTATCCAGTTAGTTATAATCTACATAGGGCTTGCCACAAATATGCAATTACGTAAAATGAATACAACGAAAAGCGAAACAGTCGAATTAATAACAGTATCTCTGATAATAAAGAAAACTTATCAACAACCATATTTTGAATTGTGAAGCAATGAATATGATGGAGTTTTGTTCTCTTACTGGGTGTTTTGGTTGTGGAGCTTTCACTGTTCTTCTGAACATCTTTATCAGTACAAACGTCTATCTGAAGAACAATGGAAGCTCCTCAGTAAAACATCCAACTCCAAGAATGAATCTTCATTAAAATTACCCACTTGAGCTACAAATTTTCTCTACCATCTCAGAAGCGATGAATTCCTAGAACAAACGCATCATATAATAATGAAACTCAAAGCACATTTTGCCAGTTCCTCATCAGAATAAAAATTATGGTTGGCTTTGATTGATTCAAGCTTTCAATCATAAAACAATATTATCCACCTATTTCTAATATCAGCCGTTGGTTAAGTTTCTTGTCATGATAATACTTGTCGAAAGTTCTTTGTTTGCTGTACGTTTCGTCTCATCGATCAATACCAATAACAATATCCGATAAGCACCATATCGATGATTGCAGCCATTTCCAAAGTAGTAATTACTGAACTTTATATGAGGGAAATTGCTATCAAATGGAGACTATATTCTTATTATTCAATTGTATAACCTAAGGGGAATTGAGTATAAGTCGAATGCTATAAATTATTGAAAATTTATTTCTTAACATATAGAGATTTAAATTAACATTTCACTGTTTCTCATCATTCTTTTTTTTTTAAGTTAATGCTATTTTTGCTCTTATGACAAATTTGGAACGTAAATCAGAAGTTTATTCTGAAGAAATACGTCGAATTATTTTTCAAATGAATAATATTCAATATATATTGAAAAGTATTTATAAGTATGTAAATTTTCTAAATTCATATGATGTTATGATAATCATGTAACCTATTTACTATGTTACAGATTTACATGTTCAACTTTGAACTATAATTTATGAAACTACTTAAATCGAAATAAATAATGCAAAATGTATCTTAAAAAATTGTATGTGCTAACTAATTGAATCTACTTTAAACAAATAGCTGACAAATATGGATGTATTCCGTCATTTTAAATCAATATATTCGAATTTAACTACCATTTGTTCATTTCATTTTACTTTAGAGATCTTATAGAGATTTAGAACAAACTGAAGTCATTTTTGTTATAAACTTATTGATTAACAGTGTGCACTGAAAAAACATTTGCATCATAGTTAAGAACTCCTTAACTTCACAAACGGACAATCGCATTAGGGATTGTGCTCATAAACCCCTGCAAATATCAATGAAAGAATAATATCTTTGTCCTTTTGAATATTCACTTATTTATGGTGAGCTTTGAATTAGAACCGAACAAGTTATTCAATCCTTATTAGCTTTCAATTGTACTTCGACTAATTTCAGTTTTTGACATGTATTACGTATCACATTATTGATTTAAGTGACAAAAGTTTAAGTGTCTGATAGAAAACATCCACATCATGATCTCAACAATATTCAGTAATCTCCACAGACTCCCATACTGTTGTTGCTGAATTGTTAGATAATAGTGTATTTTCATAATCCGGGTTAAATAAATGAATATGTCATGATATTCGTTCATCGTAAATCCCAGTAAAACAATGTGTTTTTTTTTCATTTATATCCTCTTTTTTTGAAAATATTATTTTTATACATTCTTTTTGTCTAATAATGTTGTTTGGTAATTGGGATGATTTTCAGGACGAATATTCATCGTTATCTTTTATCACAAGATCGTGAAGCTGTTGCCAAATTTACTAGTATCATGGATGAACGTAAAATTTTTTATTCACGATGGTATGTTTAGAAAATTATATTTTGTTCTTATTTTGGAGAAAATTAAATTTCATTCAGTTTATATACTGGTTAGTTGATATATATTACTTAATATCCCGATGAATTAAAGAATGACTATTTAACTCTTTGATTGTCTACAGAATTTCCATGTAATATTTGATTTAAAAAAATCTAACTAGTTTAAAATTATGTTTTTGAAAAACACCTTGTGGATATCACGGTTAGCGTTTCAGATTATATTAATTTATGTATAGTGAAAGCGACAGTAGTTTATTCCAATCTATTTCATATTCGATATCTTTAGGACGTTAGCCTACATGTGAAATTCTAACTGTACCATATGCAAATGAGAATAGTTCTCTTTTGTTATATATATTCATCTATCTCTATCTCCGAAGGATTACTCATATTCAGTTGTAGTAATATTGGCGCATGACAATGTTTTTGGGTGCTGTGATGATAGTTAGATACGTTATTATCTTAAAATATCGACTATGCCGAGTTAACTATTCTGTATGAACATCATTCCAGAAACTTCATATTACACATGGTTTTTACCAACCTTAACAGTGTTGAGAAAAATGGAGAGTTGGTCCTGTAAAAATGTTCTATAATCCCATTCATCATCGTTTGAAACAAATTAGTTGCTGCTCATTTGATACAGGATGAGCAAAATTGCTGACTTCAAGAGAGATGCTGTTATACTCCGGTCATCAACAAGAATTCGTCTCATAAACAAGGAGTCGTCACTGATGCTGTCGAAAAAACACTAATAGGATCGGAATCGCATGGACCCAGGATCATCAAAGCACCCATTAGGGCGAAGAAAGAGAGAACAACAATGAATATAACCCAGTGCTATGCACTCACCAACGATAGCAACTAATACGCCAACGATTAGTTTTCTGACAAGCTATAGTCAATCGTGGAGAAATACTCAGCAGAAGATTCAACCATTCCAATGGATAACTTAAACGCCAGAATATGACTGAATTACACGTGATACGAGTACATCATGAGATGACATAGTTTGGGAAGAAAGAACTAAGAAGGCGAGAGACTCGCAAACCTATGTGCCTTCAATAGTCATAGGCGGCACATAAACACATACACAACTTGGGATTTATCGGATCACACTGTTGAGAACCAAATTGATCACATCTGCATCAATAACAAGTTCAGAAGTACCATAGAAGACGTATGCACCAAGAGAGGATATGATATACCTTCATATCATCACTTGATAGTGGCTAAGATGCAACAAACTCAAGAAGCACTGGCTAACAGGGTGAACAGCATTACAGAAGTTCAATGTGGCCTTTCGTCGGGGTACTGGCAAACTCAACAAAATCGAGGTAACTCTCCGGAACAACTTCCAAGCTTCCCATGATCTACTCATTGGAGAGGAAACTACCACGGAGAACAGCCAAAAGGAAATCAAAGAAGCAATAACTTGAATAGGTCATGAGGTTCTAACTCGCGAGAAGCACTGAAGCAAGCAAGCAAGTAAGGAATAGCATCAGAGCTAACACACGTTATATGTGGAGGATCTAGCCATGACAGCAGAAAAAGCTGCAAGATAAGGAAAAACAATACAAGAAACTTGCTGGAAAGTATGGGAAACCAGAACGATCAGTGAAGAACAAGAAAGATGAAGCAATCACTGACATTAAATAACAGCGAAACAGGTGGGTAGAACACTTTAAACAACTCTTGAACAGACCTTACGATCGGTATTAACCCACCAACAGTTGAAGAGATCGGTATGTCTGTCAGACAAATCAAAAGTGAAAAAGCAGCAGGACCAGATAATATCCCAGCTAAGACATTGAAAGCAGACATAGAAGTAACTGCAAAAGGGTTGGACGACTTGATCTGCGAGGAACAACAAGATAGCGAAAACTGATATCTCAACAAGTATGAGAACTACAGAAGCATTACTCCTCTCTCAATACCAAAGTAAGTCTTCAACAGGGTGTTGTTACACACAATGAAGAACTTCGTAGATGCCCAACTTCGCGACCAACAGGCTGGGTTCCTATTGGGTTCGTCACTAAGTGTGCTTAAGGCTATTACGAGTTTACCTTAGTTGATAAACGCGAGCGAGACTTTTACCAGCGTCCAGGTAGGCTACCTTGAATCCCCAAAATAGAGTAAGAAGGCTTTGTAAGCGTAGAAAATAAATTCTGCAAACACCTAGCAATCACAGTACAATCAAGCATACAACTCTCGTTTATTTATACATCATAGAAACGTCCTTGGGAAAGTTAAGAAAATAGCACACTAAAATACACAGCAGCCAATCACAGCCACGGATTTTCCTGGTGGGAATTGAAGTCTCAGGGTCAACTGATCAGCCCATGCTGGAAAACTTGAAAACCAAAATAAGGCATTTATCAAGCGAATTTTGGGGATCTAACATCCCCAACAGTTCCATAAGGATCGATCATGTACCGACCAAATCGTAACACTACTGGACTTAGCGAAGCAGTCAACTGAATGAATTTCACCACTACTCATCAAATACCTTGTCTATGAGAAAACAGTTCACAGCGTAGACAGAATGATAAGATGGAGGCTCCTTCGACACTGATTTGTGTGCCTGAGAAGATAGTCAACGTTATACGGAATTCTTGTGTTGAACTGCATTGCAAAATCGTGGCTGAAGGACTGCTCACAGATTCGTTCTAAGTGTCAGGCAAGGTCGCTTACTCTCACCCTTTTTCTTCCGATGGCTGACTCGATTATCAAGACGTCAACGTCTGAAGGGAGGCCCGGAATACAATCGACAGCTTGGATGCAGCTGGACGATCTGGACTTCGCAGATGATCTAGCCCTTCTATCGCACACAACAAAAAAATGCAAACTATGACCAGTGTAGCAGCTGTAGTCCCTGCAGCAGTAGGTCTCAGCATACGCATGGTAAAAACAAGATCCTCCGATACAACACAACATACACCAACCAAACCACAATTGAAGCAGAAGCTTTGGAATATATGGAACCCTTTGTATACCTGAGCAGCATCATTGGTAAATAGGGTCGATCTGGTGCAGACAGCTGAAGAATATCTGTAACTCAAAACAACCGTCAACCAACACCAAAGTCACAATTTTCAATACAAATGTCAAGATAGTTCTACTCTATGGAGCGGAAAGTTAAAGAACCACGACAGCCATCATCCACAAGACACAAGTGTTTATTAACACTTATCTACTCAAGAAACGTTGGATCCGTTCGCCAGACAGCATGAGCAACAACCTACTGTAGGAGAGAAAAAAGCAGATTCTAGCGGAGCAAGAAATTAGTAAAAGCACTGGAGGTGGATGCGAAAAATATTGCACAAAGCACTCAACTGCATCACAATATAGGTCCTAACTTGAAATTCTCCTGGCCAAAGGAAAAGGGGAAGATCAAAGAACTAGTTACGCCCAGAATCGGAAGCAAACACGAAAAAATGAGCAGCAATTAGGACAGAGTAGGTTGGAGAATGCTGTTCGGCAGCCCCTTGCTCCATGACGAGTAGCAGGCATAAGTATGTAAGCAGTTGCTGCTCATAAATTGTTTTCCACTATGTATTTTAAAGGGTATTATTTTGTTGCTTTGTGTGTACTTATTGTGGTTTGTGAAAAATCATCCGACTAAATCATCGATATGAACACAATCTATTTTTAGAACTTTTTCTTCATGAAATCATTTTTATTCACTGTCCCGATCTTAATACAAAGCACGAATCTCACGTTAAATTTAATAATTAAGGGACCTATGATGGAATTCCTTAGTACTGCGTATCCAAGTCTTCCTGACAGAGAATGGAGTCCAGGACCTTTGATTTATATGATACTTCACTTTATGTATTTCCCGTTGTAGTTATCGTTGTTTTCCCTTTCAATCATAAACTAGTTAACTAATCCTTTCTTTTTTTCTAATGAAAAAAATATGCATTAGTTGTGCTGATATACTACACTTACGACCATTTCCTGAAACTTGTGGATCAAGTAGTATTCGTCGACGTAAAGCTTCTCAATTTGGATCTGCATTATTAGCTTCAGTATTATCACCGAATCTAAACACCAGTCATCATAGGCATTCCATCACTAACAATGACCATTCCCAACCGATCATGGATGAACATTTAACCAAGGTGTCTGTTTATTTTTTTCTCTCTCTCTAAAACAACTATCTTACCATCTCTCCGTCATCGATGTAGAATTGACCTCTTGCTAGTCTAAAATGTCTCTGATTGTTATGTCTTTATATATATATATATATATATATTGTGTTCATGCATGCCAGAGCTCTATTTCTCATTGTTTTTTTGTTAAGAAGAAATGTTAATGATTGTGTAATTGTTTCCATTCATTCATTTGCTGGTTAATATAATAATAGTAATAATAATCATCATCATAAATCTTTATCCTAACTCTTTACATTCCTACCAATGATCATAATGGTGGCAACGCATTAAAATTGGTGTTCTCTATACTAAAGCATGCTAATAGTATAGTGCTATAGCTATATAGTCGTAATTATTATTATTTTTTTTTCGAATAATTTTTCTCAGCTCATTGATCCAGTTAACTGGGATTAATTTCTAACTAACTAATTTTGAACAATTCTATTGATTTTTTTTCTGGTTTTATTTATTTTTCTTGTACATACGTACAACTGATCTAATCCTGTGTCTAGGTGTGCACGCATGCTTTCATTGCCAGATGGTAATCTTTTAAATCGTCTTGCTGGTATGATTAATCGTTCTGTGAGTTCGTGTTAATTATACATCACGTTTATTTAGTTGTTGTTTTTTCTTTTCTTTGTAAATCAATCCATACAGAGTAGTAGACTTATTTGAATATCATTTTGCATGTGCCTGTCATAATTTCTATCGAGTTGGCGAGCAATTATTTTGTTTACAATGATGTATATATATATTTATCCGCAGTTGTGACTTGTTTTATATTTATGCTTTTCGTTTAATAGATCGATCAAAAGGAGAAATCGTCATTAAAATCTCTTTGGAATGTGAGTTTACCTATTGACTTTAAAACGTTGAGTACCTTTTGTGCACACAATTTTTTTTCTGTTTCCCAATGAGTTTATGCCGCATATAAAAGTGGGAGGAATTACCCTACCTACCAGTAAAGGCCATGCGCAATCGATGGTATCTCTGATGTTTTCATATCCAGTGTTTTCCATAAGAACCTCGGCGTTTGGTTTCCTATTAAGATGGTAAAGTCTTCTCCTGGGTATTTCTCCACGATGGACTGTAAGCTGTCATAAAACTGATCTTTACCGTCTTCATTGTCATCGTTGGTGGGCACATAGAACTAAACCATATTTATCGTGATTCGTTCCTTCTTTTTTATAAGAATGCTCGTGTTGATAGCTGGTGGATAGGCATACGCAATTCACGTGTTAACCATCTCATCCCTTTAAGTTTCACTACATCATCAATCAATTTGTCAAAATAGTCCTTACCTAGTATTCTGTATCTAACCTCAGAACCGCTAACTCATCATCATCAACAGCAACGTAACTACAGAAGTTCAAGTTGCCATACCACATTAGCACAGAGATATAATTGTCAATTCAAATCCTACAATACTAGAGGTAGTAAAAGTATTCGAAGTAATCGGAGAGATTAGGGTTCGAAGATGTTATTCAAGAAGTATAATTCAGTGAGGTTAATTTAGAAAAAGAAAGACAGAGGTGATTAGGAATTCAGAAGGTTAGAATTTCATAGGACACAAAGAGTAAATGCACCTGCCCCGTTGCAGGCGATTCTGAGCCATGTCATTCAGGGTCTCTAACCATCGATTATTATCATCTCACGGACCCCAACCAGGTAGTCGACAACTACCGACATGGCTCAGTCCACTTGTCAGTGACTTCATGGATTTCTGCCATGTTTTGGTCTGGCCGCTCCTATCCTTCGTTCAAGCTATTCCTACATCGCAAAACATAGCTCGTTGAGGCAGTCGGTGGTTGGGCATACGCAACACATGTCCCAACCACCTAAATCAATGAAGTTTCACTACATCATCTATTTATCTTCCATCCTTACCTAGTACTCGTTTCCTAACGACAACATCGCTTACCCGATTGTTCCACGATGCACGAGCAATGCTTCGAAGACACCTATAACCGAAAACCAGTAACCTACGAATATCTTCTACTCTGACTGGCCATGTTTCACAACCACAAAGTAGGACGGTTCGAATCACTGAGCAGTACTCTTGTACTTTAGTCAGCAAATGGATATCTCACTTGCGCCATAAGTGACGCAGGTTGGCAAAAGCCAGTCGAATCACTCACTCGATGGTCCTGAAATACACTAACAATGATTCTAAGATACATATGATCATATACTAGTAACCTATGACTATCCTTTATTTTCAAAAGCCACATTTCACCTCCATGAAGTAAAACAGGAAGAACTGCTGCACAGTAAACTGTTGTTGGCAGTCGGATATCTCGCTTATACGGCTAGCTAGGACGACGATATTATTGACCAATAGAATTATACTTCCAAAAATACTTCTCTTAGGATATTTGATGAATATCCTAACATACATAGATTTCTGTGCTAGATTTATTCACAGTTTAAACTATGAGATTTACAATTATAATAATTAATTTTTGTTTTCTGAATATTTACGCACACTTTTATATTTTTTGTTCTCATCTCTCTTTTCTCTCACCAATTTTTTTTATTCTAAGGATTTTAATAATGGATTAAATAGTTTAACAAAACAACATCATCTTATTTCAATACCTGATCGTGAATTAAAAAATAGTTTAGAGCATCAATTAGTCCGTGATCTGGTTGTGTTATATCGTGGTTTCTGGGAGAAATCAATGTCTATTCCATTCACTGCAAATCGTGACAAGTATATTAAATTGTCTGTGGAAGAATTTGAAATTAGAATAAGACAATTATTCAATGGGACAATAGCAACTGGCAGTACACGTTGATAGGAAATGTGTTTTTTTTTATCTGAAAGAATTAAAAAGGGAAACAATGTTCTCCATTATTATTATTATTGATTTCGTTCGTGACTTTGATTATTGTTGTTTTATTTTTTTTTCAATTTGTGAAAGAAAAACAGAACGTGTTTTAATTTCTTCCTAAAATATAAAGCTAAATTCACTGTTTTTATTTTTTTTCTCTGTGTTTTTGTACTGACTCCATTAATGCCTTGCGACTATTGTACACATAACTGAATATAGAATTGGAATGTTTTAATTTGTGTTTTAAAATGTATCGCTTTTTAATTTTTATGCATAAAGAATAATATAAACTTGTATTTATTAAACACTTCATATATATTCTCATTTATATTACTGATGCCAGTAGTATTATTTAACAAGCATTAATTGTGTTCGGTATATTTCCTACATGATGTTTATAGTCTAGAAGGAAAAAAAATAAGTACTTGAACAACAAGACAATATGTTTTTGAAAATTTTTCACTTCACGTTCTACATTCATAAGTTGGAAAAATAAAGATTTTTACTATATTCATCGTAAGGCAACCCATTAAATAAAGGGGTACAACTGTACAAGAATTGAATAACAGAATAAGCATCGATACAGAAAGGTAGAACTTGTAAAATCTAAGCATACATTGACGATCCTTCATTGTTTACAGTTCATATTTTGTAGTTATCAATCAATCATTGTTAGACCATCATTAGAAACTTGGAAGCACTGGTCTAACAATGATTGATTGATGATTTCAAATGTATGAGAAAACACTAATCTCCATAACTCTAATGGAAAATATCATATTTTGTGAAATATTACTGCATCTCATAGTTCTCCTACTGCTAATATTATTAGTATCCTGATAGTGTTTATCATTAAGAATGCAAATTGGTCTTGCAAAATATCACAAAAATCAAAGAGTAATGAATTTTTAAATAAGTTTTCAAAAATTCCAACTAAACACTGACATTTATTACTGAATTGTCCGGAAAAATAAAACTCATTTCATTTAGCAACAATTACACACGCTTAAATGTGAACACAACAAATGATTACTGAAATTCATAAGTGAAATATTTGGTAGGTGACAAACTTGATAGGCAAATATTGTGCAACTTCCATCAATATAAAAGTATTTCCCATTTAAAGCTGAAATTACTTGGCGAATGAGTTACATTATTATCAATAATTATTGTTGTGTTCACCTTTAAAATTTATCTGATTAAATTAATACTAATTCCTATTGAAAGTAATTGTTCAATATTAAGAAACAGTTATGACATCATAATGGAGATTACTAGTTGTTTATAATTTGTAGATTAGTTTTAACTGCTTGTATATTCGATCGTTTGTGAAGGTCCCATAGAATACAGGCTACATCAATTTTAATTGAACGTAAAATTTTCGAATGATCTTAATCATAATTACATCAAACTGTTGTTCATTCTTCAGTTGATCAATAAATTCAGTACATTAATTTTTTCCTTCATTTCTCCAGGTTTATGGATATATTCTCATGCTATAAAAAGGATGATATACCTTTTGTTCGTATTTCTGCTCCTATGGTTCGATATACAAAGTCAGTACATAGATTTTTTTCTTTCAACACAATGAAACAACAGGTCTCATATGATGTAATGGATGTTTCCGATGCTTTTTATACAATGTATTATATACTGCAAGTAAAAGGATGGTCGATTTTATATTACCACTGAATTGGGTACTCGAACGGTACACCACACAGACTAGATCACGTTAAACCAGACACATGATCCACGACCGGAATAAGGAATATATGGTATTTTACTCTACATAATTGCCAGCAGTCGTACAGTGAGTCCAGAATAGCAATTAATAAGATGAAATGAAACCACGTCTTTGATAGTCACTAGGCTGTGTCACTTTGTCGACGCTCGATGACCAATTACATTTTCCTCTTGATGCCACATACTTACGCCTGTTATCATCTCCAATGGGACATAGCCCATCGAACAGCATTCACCAACCAACTCTGTCTTGAGCCTTCCCAGTTTTACCCAATAGCTATTCATTCTTTTCACATCTGTTTCTGATTCACAGCGCAGTGTGTTCTATGGCCTTGAGGGTCTAACTAACGCGCATCATGTTAAATTCATCCGTGAATATGTTTATTTAAGTTGTCTGTAGTCTGTCAAAAAACTAAGCGGTTCACCATAATAGTCATATCAATGTGTTTTACTGTTGTTTCTTAGTATGCTTATTAAAGCATTCGATTTTCACATCAGTTGTTTGTGAATGGCAGTAATACCAGCTATACAAAAATAATGCTACTCAAACTACACGGATGCATAATTATATATTGTGCTACATATATTGTAGTAAAAGAATCTATGGCATATAATAATACGCTGCAAATTAGTTAACCTTTTCTTCCTGAGCTATTATTCACACACCTTTCGCCGTTGTCAATTATTCGATTATAATTATGGTTGTTTCTATTTTATCGTATGTGTGCATTGCTTGCATACTTAATCATACCTGATCTCATAGAGTTGGCCCATTCGCCTTCTCCGCTTCACTTCGCTTGAACTCAGATCTCGGGCCGCTAAAGATCACATAGAAATAAATTTAGTCATATCATATTAGTTATTCCTTTCTAATACCAATAGTAAAGTATATGAAAAACTTAAATATGATCAAAAATATAATAGAACTGTATAAATTAAACAAAATAATAATTATTTTCAATTTCATTTCTGTGTCTACTGTTCTTCGTATGCCCGACCACCGACTGCCTCGACGAGCTATGTTTTGTGGTGTAGGAGTAGGTTGGAAGAAAGCTAGGGGCGGCCAAACCAAAACATTGCACAAATCCATGAAGTCATTGACGAGTGGACTTAGCCATGTCGGTAGTTGTCGACTACCTGGCTGGGGTCCGCGATATGATAATAATCGATGGTTAGAGACCTTGAACGACATGGCTCAAAATCGTTTACAGTGGAAAAGGTACATCCACTCTTTATGTTCTCTCTAATTCTGACCTTCTGAATTCCTCATAATCTCTATCTTTCTCCTTCTAAATTTATCTCACTGAATTAAACTTCTCGAATCATATCTTCGCTCCCTAATCTTCTACATTACTGCTAATACTTGTACTATCGCTATCACTCTTGGATTTGAACTTACAGTTGCGTCTCTGTGCTGATGTGGTATGGCAATCTGAATTGGTGTACTTACTTACGACGTTCTGCGTTGTATCTGTCTGTTTGTCCGTCTGTTCTTCGTATGTCGATTTGAACACTAATGATTTTTATTCTAAAATAAACATCATATACACTTAGTTTGTACTAAAGCAACTCAAACAAAAATTCTCACATTTTTTTTCTCATGAAACATCGTGAGAAGATTCATCACAAAGTTACAATATTTTCATAAAACATCTTTAAATTCTGATTAAAAATTAGTAAATTGTTTCTACTACTTATGTAGATTTCGATTATGGTATTCTCATTTAATTACCTGTTGTTTCTCAGATTTATTTTTTCTCATCAGAGTTTATTTTTTCAATTACTTATTATGTGTACATAGGTTACCATTCCGTTTACTACTTCGACAACATAATGTCGATTTAGTTCATACACCTATGATCTTGGCTAATTCATTTATTCGATCAGAGAAAGCAAGAAATATTGAGTTTACTACTTGTCCAGGTAAAATTTTTACATTTTATTTATTGATCCTAATATCATTTTTATGATAAATAAATTAAATTAGATAAATTAATTATCTAAGAGATTTCAAATAATTTCTCTAGTAGTTGAGCGTCGACTTAATGTAAAAAAATATTGATAAACAAAATGTGTAAAAACACAAACCTCCAAAACTCTGCCCCAAAATATCGTAACAGTGCTCACTAGTGACTAGCTTCGTGAGGAAATTCTCGGAGTTCTAGTTGAGAAGACGTGACCAATGGAGTTCAACCCTGTCGGGTAACTACCAAAAAAGACAAATGGGTGAGGTCGCGCAAAATCCCTAGAGCAATCAGAGTTAGACATTAACACCGTTGGATGCCGGTCCAGTGGTCCGATGGTTAGGCGTTCGCGCACAATACCGAAGGTCCCGGGTTCGAATCCTGCGAGGTGCAGGAGTCGTGGATGCGCACTGCTGATTAGTCCCATACCAGGACGAAACAGCCGTCCAGTGCTTCCAGGTTTCTAATGGTGGTCTAACAATGACTGATTGATGATTTCAAACGTGTAAAAACAAAATTGTGTTTACAAGAAATCTTTAAGAATTAAATTTCAAGTAAATCCAACATTTCACTGAGTAACCTGATCTAAATTTTATCAAATAAATATCATCAAATGTTTTAAATTTAATTTACTGTTCTATAATTCAACTTCTATAAATAATTATTTCTTTTTCATTTAATAAATAGTTCATTTATGAAGTTTTTTTTTGAAAATTAAATGATTAAAAAAATTTAAAATACACAGTAATTATTTTTAGAATTTATGTATTTCATTAGAAAACTATTTTTGTAGACTTATTCAGTCAAATAATATTTTTAATCAACTCCATTGTATGTTGAATAAATTAGAATTACATTCTACCCAACAATAAAAAACCTCACTCTGTTTTATCGGAGATGATTATCAGAATATCATTTAATTATTTCAGTTACTTATTTATTTACGCCTATTCCCCAGCTTGAAGTCAGTCGTGGAAATATGGGTGTAGTAAGGATCTGATTGTGACCGATAAGGTCTCGTGTGCTGTTACGGGTATGAAGGCGGATGTCACTTCCCGACTGCCCGCACCTTGGAAGGGTGTTTATTGAGGAACCTGAAAAGGAGGGTAGATTAGTGTTGATATTAACGACCCCTACATGAAGTTTAGGCATCCGAACAGCATTCTCTAATCTACTCTGTCCTGGGGGTGACTAGTTCTATATTGAGGATGAAATCACTCTTGATGTTAATCATTTCTTAGCCATAAAAAATAATTACATTATGACAAGCACACATGAAGAAAATTCACTAGTTTTTAAGTGTGATTGAGTTTTTTTCTTTCAAGTAATTATTCGTTATATTATTCAAATTGGTGTTGTACCAGAATATCATAAGTGATCATATGAAAGCGTTATCAATTCTATCATTTCAACGACTTGACAAATTGTCATAATAACATGGAAAACTACCAATTAAATGCGTAATTAGATTTCATTTGATTTTTTTTTATTAGAATGATATATTGTGTTGACTTTTTTTAAATAAAATATATCAAGGACTGATAAGTAATAATTTAATTGTTATTATTTACTAAATCACTAACCATAAATTCATTAATTTTGTGTTGGGGATGTTAGATCCCCAGAACTCGCTTGATAAATGCCTTATTTTGGTTTTCACGTTTTCCAGCATGGGCTGATCAGTTGACCTTGAGATTTCATTTCCCACCCGGAACGTCTATGGCTGTGATTGGCCGCTGTGTATTTTAGTGTGCTGTTTTCGTAACTGTCCCAAGGACGTTTCTATGATGTATAAATAAACGAGAGTTGTGTGCTTGATTGCATTGTGCTTGCTGGGTGTTTGTAGAATATACTTTCTACGCTTGCCAAGACTTCTGTTTTACAGCTTGGGATTCAAGGTAGCCTACCTGGACGCTGGTAAAAGTCTCGTTCGCGTTTTATCGACTAAAGTGGACTCGTAATAGCTTGTTAGTATAATTTTATCCATTGATTAGTGGACCGCTGAAACTCAAACCTTCTTAAACCTTTTAATTAGAGACAATGTTAAACGAGTCATTATTATTTTTAATCGATGAAAAACTCTGACAATTCATGAATTAATAAAAAAAACATTCTTTGATTACATCGATTTTTTGCTGACTTAGTTCTTCTACAAAAAGTTAATATAAAACAATAGTCCTAGTAGAATCTCATGCATATTGAACGTTAAGCCTTTATTTGTTGTCTAAGACCTATTTGCACAACCACACTCACAAAGCAAAACGCAAACCTGCAAATTGAACTCATAAGCCCTCATCATTCCACAAACAATCGAGTATCTTTCATTAATTTCTTAGCTCTTAATTAAATGTGCCACATCATTGTATGATAACCTAGATTGATAAAATATTTTTTCCTCACTTTGGTTTTTTAAACTAACAAAATAATCACTCACTAATTCATCATGGAGTTATGAAGGTTGTTGTTTTTGATTGTATTCATAAATGGATCATTATTAGACCACTATTGGAAACTTGGAAGCACTGGACGGCGGTTTTACTGGCTCAGCGGTCTAAAGGTTAAGCGTTCGCGCGCGAGGTCGAAGGTTCTGCGTTCAGTTCTTGCAGGTGGGGGTCATGGATGCGTACTGCTGAAGAAGTCCCATACTAGGACGAAACGGCTATCTACTGCTTCCAAGATCCTAATGGTGGTCTGAAAATGATCGATTCATGATTTCTATCAGAAACTAGCGTTGATATCAAACTCATTTTTATTTGATCGATTAATCCATTTTATATTTCGACTGCTTATTTACGTAATTACATAGCAATATCTAGATTAAAATAAGCAATTCTTTTTTTTCAACCAATTATGTTTACTTCAATTGCATGCGTTCTAATTCCCATCATTCTCATATTGAAAATTCTCTTCCAATATATATTAGCTTGATGTCTTGTTAAGGATTGGATCTCTTAGTTATTGATGACCATTCGCTTTATTTTTTTGTGACTTCATAAGTATTTTTCTTGCTTAATGTTACGCACGCAACTTCACCACGTCAGTTGATATGCTTGAACTATTACGAGTTCACCTTAGTCGGTAAACGACAGCGAGACAATGATCCAGTGACACAATAGGCTACTCTTATCTGAGCGTCCCAAACCCCCATTGATTAGAAGAAGAAGACTTGATACGAGGTAGAACGTGTATTCTACAAGCATCCAGAGAGTACGAGGTCCGAGTCGATAAGAAGCTAAGGATCCGGCTCATAAAATGTTACAGATAATGCATATTGATACAGTTAGGTTGAATAGGAAACAACATTGATTGTTAAGACGGCCAATTGGAAACAACATTTGAAGTGACATTGATAGTTAAGATGACCAATAGGAATTAACCAATAGAACTAGACTTACGAATAATTCTCTTAGAATATTTGATGAATATCCTATCACTTAATATCTAACAATTTACTCTGATGAGCTTGACATTTTCGTTGTTGATTAATTTTAAAAATTATTCTACTGAAACATTCGAAATTCTTTATTGTTATTTCTTTTGTTATTGTTGTTCTTGTTGCATCTATTTAAGATGATCGACCGTTGATTGTACAACTTGCATCAAATGATCCATGTGAATTTACTATAGCAACGGAAATGCTTGCACCATATTGTGATGGAATCGATTTAAATTGTGGTTGCCCACAATCGTAAGTTATTTTCGGCCTCCTTTCCATCGATATTCCAATATATTATTTAGATTTGTTCATAATGAAACGCGTATACTATTGATCCAACTCAAGTAGGCTACTAGGTAATGCCAAATCAGTTCCATAAGGTATTTGAGAACATGTATTACATATCCGCAACTACCGCCTGTATCGATATTTGATTTTGCCTAGTGTACAAACAGTTTTTTATTACAACGGGGTTAAGTATTAGGAAAGTAAAACTTTCTCAACCGTCCTACTTGAAGTCGTTGTATATCTATTTTTGTTCTTTAATTCATCAATACTTATTCATTGTATTCTTCTGCTTGCAAGCCTTTAGGACGCATAAATTGTTATCGTGTCGTACTTATCTTCAGTTAATTTACTATGCCTTTATTACATACCTTCAGACATAGCTTAGTTACGCTTTTCTTCGAGTTACTTAATTATGTTGACGTTTGCTCTGTATTTTACTCTGTAATGTTGTGAGTTCTGAGACATGATTGAATTGAGTGAAACAGAGGACTAATATGCTTTCTATAAGGAAAATTGATGACTAGTAACTAGTTATGACTAATGTCTAAGCTATTATCTTTTCCTCTTTCTGTGGAGAGTTGTAAAATCGCCGTATACGGTCCATGTTCGAAATATCTAACTTTCTTCACCTCAGAGGTGGCCTTCTGGAGAGGTCTTGTTTGGAGGTATCGGCTTGCAAAAGTGGTTATATCCACAAACGAAAAATATAAAACAGTATCTTAAGTACTGAATCCTTATCCATTTTATGCAATATTTTTGTAGTTTTTGATGTGTGATCTACTTGTACCCATTTATTATTTGTGGTCCACTGTGGGGATGAATACCTGAAACTATGAACGTCTGCTTTCTGGTGAAAATCGACCCACTTATGTTAAACGGAACATCTAGATTTTGGGTTAGTAAATTCAGTCTATTTCTAAGTTTTTTTAAATACTGCGGCGAGCGAACAACATTCTATTGATTAGCCACTATCACCATGTTAGTTTTGCAAAGCATTTTATTATGTGCAATTATGACTATTCAAGATATTGATATCAATCATAACTACCAACATAAAGCCTGTCACAATTGTACATTAGCTCCAGTTAGTATATAACCATTATCAGCTCAATGAAATATGATTCATCACAATGAATAACAGACAAGTCAAAATAATCACAGTAGTAATTATAAGTGAGAAAGACTAAACATTCAAAATATGGTTAAAAATACTGGATGAAAAAGTATGTAGAAATTAGTACTGAAAGTAAAGAAATAATAAGTGGACAAAGAGTAAAAGTCATTAAAACATTATTGAACTAACACGAATCCAATGGATTTATAAAAGTTGGCTATCTTGCAATTCAGTTCTGTTAGTAGTGTTAAATAGTTTATCAATGAATTAAATAAACTATACAGTAGAAAATGGTGAAGTGTTAAAAATTAATTTTACATACAGTCAACTTCCATCATAAAAATATCAATCTACTAAGTATGAAATATTGACTTTCCAGCCAAATTCAATTAAGTATTCTGTGGTGGTCATGGACGTAAAATAAACGACTGTTCCGAGGAGCTATGCTAGCTGTTACAGTCGTTACCAACAACCGGTCGAACCGTTTCCCTGTTGTTTTAATTTGAATCTGCACGGTTGTCTACATTGCCATACGTCTCATGATACCAGCATACTGTGGGTTGCTCGATTTACTCTGTGACCACCCTGTTGGTCTGTCGTTCTAAGTTAACTTCTTGTAAATGATCGATTCTATCATCTACCGTGATGTTATGCATTTGCGGACTCGTTTGTTTCGTTCTCTCACATATCTTATCAGCTATTTTTCTATGTTATCTATGTCTACATCGCTATCCACGACTACGAGGATCTGCTGCACATTCAGGGGGAGTCGACGGAGCCATAAGTGCTAGAATATCCTATTATCTACTTTCTTGTCCTTTATTAGTCTTGTCATGTAATTGTTTAGCTATGACCGGGTCCTCTCTTCTATTTGCACTTGATTTTAAAGCTGATCGAGGTTTCGTTGGTTGGTTAACGAGATGCCCTGCTTTAATGCACCGGAAATTAAATTGACAGTCATAATGTAAACCGTACCAGTATTAAAATTATCTGTATGATGTCGTTATTTGTGACTTACTATTGTCAACATATGTTCAACAATGTTTATGAAATAATTTACATGTAATGGAAGTACGATAATAATAATAATAATCCACTGTAAGAATTCGAATGGAGACAGTAAGTTGATTTCCGTATTTCGATCGAATCGTAGAAAACTGCATTGCGTTCGATAGTCGGGCTCACCAATTCTGTGACGGTGGATATTCGATATATTCTTAAACTTCATATGTTGTTCGTCCTAATAACTGTTACTCCAAATTTCGAATGATTGTCACAATTAACTTTATAGGTTACAAATATAAAATGGTCCGCACATTTATCGAATTATTTAAACGAGTAACATTAAAACTAGTAAAATGAATATATACCTAGGCGGTAAGCAATGCTCAAGCATGCAAGGTCAACAATAACAGATAAGTTGTTACCGTAAGGAATGACGCTTTGTTGAATAAGTTAGTAAAAGGGCTTAATCAAATTAAATGTAAGAGTACTCAAATGTATGTAAGGTGCTAAAAGTTGATTGAAATCTTTTGGAATTGATTCCTGTGATCAGTATGTAATGGTCTATTTTATGTAGCTTAATCCTTTGAACTAAATTATAATCGTAATCCATTTTAGTTGATATTAGATAGTAATCGGTAGTCTATAAAAATCCCTGAATTGTGGTGGTGTTTCGTTCTCTGGGCTGGTTGTTTTGGTTGTGGAGCTTTCATTGTTCTTCTGAACAACATCATCAGCACAAACTTCAGAGGGAAGTAAAGCATTCCAATTTCTCCACGTTTGACCTGTAGCTTGTTCTGCTAACCTCGATCTTGATTGGTTGCTGTTGACCTTAAACCTGTCGTTGTTTGCACATTTGTTTTGATTGTATCCCCTTTTTGATCTGTTTCTTGATCCTATGTCCCAGTTTATCAACCAATCAGAAAAATCACAATCATCCACCTGAGCTACAAGTTTTCTCCACCATCTCAATATCCCTGAATTTATGCGCCATTTTTAATTGGTATACCACCAAGGTGTATATCCGATATTGAAGAGAACTGAAACTTCTTTTAAGTTGCTCGAACCTGTTTCAATTAATACTACATTGAGAAACGTTATAACTAAGTTGTCGGATCAACTGTTTATTTCTCAGAACAACTCATTTTTATTTCAACACTTAATGGGATTGCTTACTTTTTGATTGTAAACTTCAGGCTAATCATTTGTTAAAGGTAACATTTGAATTTGAAGTTTTCACAAATACTTGATCTTGTAATCGCGTTATACTTTATCATTTGTTTGTTGAATTTAAACTAAATATATTTTAAAACAGATTGAGATATTGTTTTATTAGTTGAATAAATTTTAGAAATTTAACTAATACAGGATCAGTTGAACATTTGTAACTAGTACGTTTTTTCATACAATCAATATCATTTTCTTTTTATTCTTTATATTTTAGTTGGGCAATGAGTAGTGGATTAGGAGCAGCATTGCTAAAAGAACCTGAAAAAATTGCCAGCATTGTACATGCTGCTCGAAATGTAATCCCTCGATGGCGTAATTCTAACATGGAAAGCTGTAAACTATCAGACGATGCAGAGATTTTCAATAAACACGATCAAATTGAAAACAAATTCAAGTCTATCACACGATCTGAAGGTCCATTTTCAATTTCTGCTAAAATTCGTATACCAACAACAAGTAGTAGATCTGTTGGAGAAGGAAATTCAACTGATCCTGTTAGTGGTAAAAAATTTTCTATATTTTGTTTAACGTTTCAGTTATACACCAAAAAAATATAACTTTGTTTATAAACTCTTTTTTCCCCAACCAGATGTAGGCTACCTGGTTGGTGTCCGCGAGACGAAAGTCACCAATGGTTAGAAACGTTGAATGACATGGCTCAAAATCTTTTACAATGGAAAAGGTACATCCACTCTTTATGTTCTCTCTAGTTCTAACCTTCTGAATTCCTCATAATCTCTATCTTTCTCCTTCTAAATTTATGTCACTGAATTATACTTATCGGATCATATCTTTGCTCCCTAATCTTCTCGATTACTGCTAATTAATCTACTATCGCTATCACTCTTGGATTTGAACTTACAGTTGTGTCTCTGTGCTGATGTGGTATGACAATCTGAACTGATGTACTTACGTACGACGTTCTGCGTTGCATATGACTGACTGATATATAGGAGGCGATTGTTTATGCATTAGTCGTCAAATGAACAAACCACAAAATGTGCCTAGAAATCAGATTTCTAAAAAACAATGACGAAGTATTATTACTATATAGTGTTTTATTATGCTTTTTAAACAAAATCTACAATTAAGAATGTAATATCAGAGATAGTTAGATTGAATGTATATCTTAAAGTTAATGTTAAGTTTCAACATAACTCAAGTGGAATACATTCGATCTTGTGAAAATTAACGAGTTCACAGAACTTAAGTTGAATTAGTTGATCAGTAAATAATTCATCATTATTATTGTTGTTAGCTCTGCTAGTTTAGACTATTTTCAACTCTTTGTAATTAAATATTTTATTTTTACGTTAGCCGTGGATTTAATGAATAAATCAATGTAGATTGGTCAATTTCTGAATCATGAATCAAATTATGAAGTTCAAACTACCAATTTTAACTAGCCATTATTGTAAAATAACAGAATAACTTATTCGAATTCATAATCTAAGTCTTCCAAAATTAATCGATTAGTTATTTTGCATTGGAAAAACTGATATCATTCGGTTAAAAGATAAAATTGATTAATGCATTCACTTTAGGATTCGTAAGGACAAAAGATGTTCAACAATCAGTAACCCGTTTCATACATTTGCTCAATTCACATTTGCCTTGCCATTACTGATGTTCACTGGACAATATTTTCTAGATCATCATATTATAAGTCTTTAGAAAGAAATTGCTTAGATGAATGAAAATTTAATTGTTCTGCAATAATTGATATCTTATTGAAAAATCTTCATGTTAACGGTCTCAAAATCGATACATACTTAAATTAAGTACTTGAATACTTCCTACACTTTTATTGTACTTAAATAAAATCATATTTGATTTCATAATTAACAATATTCTGATTGAACATGTAATCCTTTTTCAACAATCAAATAACCAGAAAGATTACATAGACAGACAGACAGATACAACGCAGAACTTCGTACGTAAGTACATCAGTTCACGTTGCCATACCACATCAGCACAGAGACGCAACTGTAAGTTCAAATCAAGAGTGATAGCGATAGTACAAGTATTAGCAGTAATGTAGAAGATTAGGGAGCGAAGATATGATTCGAGAAGTATAATTCAGTGAGATAAATTTAGAAGGAGAAAGATAGAGAATATGAGGAATTCAGAAGGTTAGAATTAGAGAGAACACAAAGAGTGGATGCACCTGCGCCATTGCAAACGGTTTTGAGCCATGTCATTCAACGTCTCTAACCATTGGTGACTTTCGCCTTGCGGACACCAACCAGGTAGTCTACATCTACAAACACGGCTCAGTCCACTTGTCAGTGAGAAATATTAAATGGTAATCAATAAAACTTATTTTTGTGCATTCACTTTAAACATTGGGTTTTTTTCCAGTTATCGGAGCAGAACACTGTTTCTAGTGTAAATTAATTATAGATATTGTTTTGAATAATTTATTTTTATTTAAATGCAAATAAATATTTCTCATATATTTTAGTTAGGCAGAAAATAACGTTCTTGATGCGTTTATTATCGTTTGTTAAATTAATTATAAAACTTTATGAAATATGAAAAGTTCATACAATCTTCCTAGATTAAGGTTACCGTTGAACTTGTTCGACGTTTAGCTGCCATTGGTGTTGACTGGGTTACACTACATGCAAGAACACCTCAACAACGTAGCAGGGATTGTGCTTCCTGGAATGTAGTTCAAGAATTGGTCGCATGTAAAATCAAACATTCTTACCTGGGTACTGATATCCCAATAATATTGAATGGTGATGTTCGTGAGCTAAACGATGCTTATCGTGCTCATGAAACGACCGGTTGTCATGGTGAGTCCTGTAATTAAGAATATGATATGTATGAAGATGTAACCTTACCACTTATACTTATGACAAGTGGATAACATCTGATTTTAAACACTTCATATATTTTTTTATTCAATTTTCACAAAACTTTGTGATTTTTCACTGCTCTAAGTTTTGAATCTTATCCCAACTAAATCAAAATACTGTCAGTAGATCAATTACAACTCACCTACTTACTTACGCCTGTTATTCCCAATGGAGCATAGGCTGCCTAACAGTATTCTACAACCTATTTTATCCTGGGCTTTCCTTTCAAGTTCTGTTCAGTTTTTGTTCATTCTTCTCCGTCACTCGGCGTAATGTGTTTCCTTGCCTTCCTCTTTTCCTTTGTCCTTGAGGGTTCCAAGTGAAGGCTTGTCTTGTGACGCCGTTGTTAAATCGTTTTTCACACATTATTAAGCTTTCTTCGATTTTACATTCATGCTCGATTAGCGACATATATATCACAGACAAGTATCAGTCAGAAAAACTAAAGGGTACCGGTTAGCTGTTTCATCATAATTTGAGGCTCGTCGTCAGTGTGTATCAAACTAAATCCCTGCACTCACTGAAAACCAGCTGAGAGATCAATCTCCAAATTTCTATTGAAATGTCATGTCAGATGGCGCACCTCAAGAACGAGAAAATGGTCACTAATATCATTGGGTAGCCGTTACTTTGTATGAGAAGTAAGTGTCGACCAATCAGTGCGTCCGATGCTCACTGAGAGACTCAATGCGGGCTGCAGGTACACACACACACACACTACACAGTAAAATGAAATATGTCCCTTGGTTTTCAACGGTACTCCAACCAGTGTCAATCCCAAACGAATACTGTCTTCATATCAAATTAATCTGTTCTAGCCCCTCAACTAAATATCCTCTGTAAAAGTGTAGTACAGAGATAAGCTTAGACCAAACCTGACGAATTTCTAATAAATTCTTAGGCTATTGGAAAACAGTTTTCATAATTGGATAGATAGTTTATGGAAAACAATAATATTGTAAGATGTAAACCGATTTTACACATTTAACAAGTTTCAATATGTTCTCTACAGGTTACCTCTTCAATGGCAAGAACAACATTACACAAACTCGTCCTTATGGATATGTATTGTCTATCTGCTCGAACCCTTATAAGGATGTGGACAGATTTTAAGTGCCTATGTTGTTGGATTTACAGTTAACATCACGAACCAACATCAGTTATCATATACAAATGCTTTTTATCCATATGAATAGACAGGTTTCACTTAAAAACACAAGAGGTGCTATCCATAAAGTGTAGCTCCATCAGGTGAAATTTTGTTTCAGGATTGAGTTCTGAATGGTAGGAATTAGGGAGAGTGTAGACTTGCCTATTGTATACAATCTAGAAAGACAGAATTTCACTTAGCTTGCTTGCTGTATGGTTGCAAAAAATAGTTACTTCCGTTCATCTTTAACGTTCTCAGTAATCTGCAAAAGTATCCCTACTCATCATGATACAGGACATCTGAGTTTTGCTCGGAAACTTAAAACTCTCGCTCTCGATTCTGATTGACTTGTCCTTAATATATACAATCTCACCCAATAATTATAATATTTGCATCGACTAGTCATAGTCCACCTTCCATTGGTTTGCTCCTCAATTTTAGTTGGTGATATCTTCTTGTGACAACTTGCACTAATTCGAGCTCTACGATTATCGTTTCTGATAAACGCGTTAAGTGAAAATAAATATGTTTTGTAGTTGTCAGACGAAAAGTTCAGATTTTCTCTGTGCATAACCTATGAGAAGTTTAAACCTGTAGCCCAGTGGTATAATCCATCTTTTTGTCTATAGGAAGACAGCATCACTGGGGGGTACTTGTTGTTTGTCGGAAACATCTAACTACCACAATACGACTTCCTACTTTTGTTCTCACCTCTCTCCAGTCGACCTACATAGAATGGCATGACCGTAGGGAAAAAGTGTTCGAGCAGTAGAGGTATGCCGTACTGACGACCTCGAACGACTCATTAGCTAATCAGAAAGCCATGTTCAGTTATAAGACAATAATAAAGAGCAGCGAAACAGCTTTGATATGAATAACCAACTTTCACATGTTGAATTATTCCTTGTAGTTAAAGTAAAAAGCTTACATATCGGGAGTCACTCATAGAAATTTTATCACCAACCGTAATGCAAGGTTCGGGTTAAATTATTGGGAGTTTTGTTGTTTGTAAACCTACTGTTCAGATTGGGGGTTAGGAGTTAAGTGAGAAAATACTGTCTAGATATATTAAACATCCTGGACTATGCATTGAACCACATTAAGTATTCAAACACAGTCTGCAACAGGTGTGGAGATTTCTTGTAGTTTGCCTTAAGGACCATCTTACATTCATTGTCTGGCTGCACAATGAGTATTTTTGTAATCGGCTTAAAGCATTTTAGGAACCCAAAAATTGCCCATTTTTTGCTCAGTTTGCAATTGTATATAAGCTATTCTCCATTGAATCTTAGGTCTCGCCTAAAATTCCAACTCATCCACCTAAAGTTGTTAATATAAATAAAAATAAATATAGTGTATATATTTGTTCACGTTAATATTATTTAAAAGCCCCGGACGAAATGTTTTAAACCATTGTTTCTTATTTCAGGTGTCATGGTTGGTAGAGCCTTGTTAAAATTTCCACATCTATTCACTCGGAATTTTATAGAAGATGAGAACTCGCTTCGCTGTTTATTTGAAAATTGGTTATTTTTATCTGCACAGTACACCGGAGGCACGAATTTTGTAACTGTTCACCAACAAGCATACTGGATGATGGAGCCCTTTCTGGACAAAACAAACAGGATCATTTTACATAGTATTGGAAGTTTTCCAGGGTTAGTCGACTGGTTTATTGAACGTTGGAACACACAAAACTGCTGATATGTATATTTCCCTTGCACAGTAAAGTACTTTCAATCTCAAATATCATACTTTTTCCACAATCACTCTAAATAAAGCTATTACACTAAAATTAAGTACTGGTCAATTTTAGACCACTATTGGAAACCAGGGTCACTGGGAGGCCATTTTGATCTAATATGAGACCCAGCAGTGCCCATCCACGAACTTGCGATCAGGAATCGAACCCTGGACCTTCGGTCCCGCGCGCTAATGCCTAACCGCTTAAACAGCATCCGACGGTTTTAACTTGAGAAAATTTACTAAGTCCTAGTGAGAAGGCATAACCAGTGAAGTCCAATCGGGTTGGGTTACCTACCAAAGACAATGTATGTGGCGGTCGTGTAATATCGTGAGTTGGCTAAAGTTAGACATCACCACCGTTGAATGCTGGCTTAGTGATCAAATGGTTTGGCGTTCGCGGACGAATTAGGAGATCCTGGGTTCGATTCCCGCCCAGTGGGTCGTGGATACGCACTACTGATGAGTTACGTACTAGGAAGAAACGGCCGTCTGGTGCTTCCAGGTTTTCAATAGTGGTCTAAGATGACCAGCTCTTGATTTTAATGAAACTCGACAACCTCCACAACCCTTTACTGACTAAGTAAATTGTTGTATCTCTAACCGATAATCAATATCATTCGACAAATACAAAACACAAATTAGGATTACTTTTTCCGCAGAAACCATAAGTCAGCTGTAAATCCCTGTTGATCAACAACTCGATAGACTCTCTTTACTTTGTCTCGTAGTCCAGAAGTCTGTAAGCCAGCCTCCAAAAAATTATCGTTATATTTCAGTCAGACATAACATATTCCAAACATCATACCATAAAATGAGAAAACTCATTTATACACGAACGAGCCAAAAGTGGCTGTGAATAATAATCCAGAAATAGTTAGGAATAAAAAATCATGCAACTATAGTTGATGAGTAGATCGGAAGATCTGTATTCAACAAGGTTGCACACTGTAATAATCCATAAATCAGTTTTGGGATGTAGCACTACTCTAATTGTCTTCCTGATATAGCATAAATACAGTAGTTTCTATCCGACAAGTTATTTTAAATGAATGAAGTGTCTAATGTGTTATTAATGTGGGAAATACATTCAGCGTCTATGGATACTTTTCGGCCTCAGAGTCAGTCGGTGACCACTTGCAACGAAACCTACATAAATGAGATCATTTCAAACTACTACACTATTTGTTTCTTACATTCAACTTACCACATACTTGATTTCGTATATTTATTTTGTGCAGTCAGTCAGTCAGATGCAACGTAGAACTTCGTACGTAAGCACATCAGTTCATGTTGCCATACTATCAACAACACGAGCAGTAAGGAGGACTATAAATTGGGCTGGTCCACGACCTTGCAGTTTAGACCATAATTTCAAGAGCTAGCAGATTTCGACCGAGAAATCCAGTGACTTAGGACGACAGCCAACATTCCCGTTAGTTCAAAGTGATAACTTTGATGCTTTATCTTCACCCAACATCGGATATCAAACGTAATGACCTGGAATTTCTATTACATCTTCCCACCTTCCCCAGGCAACTGAAATTAAAGGACTCATTAACTGCTTCTCCTTACTTTCTCTAAACACCAGAATCAACACTACGAATGTTCACTTGTTGATTCCATAATACGAATAGGACGGTTTTATACTCTTTTCCGTCAAATGGTTATTCCCTAACAACGTAGATTATAGAACACCTCAAAGTCACTGTGCATCACTTGATAATACAATACTACGCAATATGATGCCCGGCCATGTTGATAACCGGTCAGCTTCCCAGCTCAGCAGTGTAGTCGACGTACATTCACTCAAATTAACTTGGGTATAGCAGTTTTAGGGCAACTTTCTAGATGTTACAAGTGCAAAACTTACATATTCCTCCCTTTGATGTTTACCAGACGCTGTCTTATACTTTTTTTGGAAGAATCTGTCTGGTCTAATCTGATAACCGACAAATCCTTACAATATTTGTGGACAAAAATCAACTTCATTGATGTTCAAGAAAACATCAGACAATTGAGATAATAGATGTTAGGTAAGGATATCACTAGTTATCAGTTTGGAATTATTAATCTACGTATCCTCCGCGGGTTTTGTTGAAAAATTTATGGCGCTAGAACATACTTTTTCAATGCTCTTCTGAGGTTGTTGCGGGAACTTAAGATAAGCCAAGTTTGTAGTATGCTTAAGTGATTCGCTCCTAACATGCTTATCAAAACCTTGCCCGTATCGTGTTATGAATAATAACAACCAACATTGTGTCCCAGTCATTCTTTCGCATCCTTATAATTGTTGCACACTGTAACGCATTTTCGTAGGTCGTGGATGGTAATACGTTTGTTTTCGAGGTCATTTTCTCTCTTAGCTGTACTTCTTATCTACAAACTACCCGGAATCTTTGAAACTGTCCTATTATTTAGATGATTTATGACATTGGCAATTACCAACTAGCTGACGTGTTGGAGACTACTGCGAGCTCTGACGAGATTCAGCTCTCAGTTCATCAATTCAGGTCAGTGGTCAGAATCAAATCACTAAGCACTTGATACTTATATCTGCTCCCGCAGGAAATATCCATCCAATCTTTAAGTTATGGTATTGTTATTGAACCAACCCCGCGGAGAATCCAGTGACACTTATTCTTCACTCTATTAAGGCTCCCGCTTCACAAAACGGTTTTAAGGAAATCTAATCATTCAATAGCAACGTAAAACTTCGTACGTACGTACGTCAGTTCATGATGCCATACCACATTAGCACAGAGATGTAATTGTTGATTCAAATCCAATAGTAGAAAAGGTAATAAAGTTATTAGCAATAGTCCGAAAGGTTAAGATTAAAAGATATTATTCAAGAAGTAGAATCTTGTGAAAAATACTTAAAAAGATAAAGTGATGAAGAATTAAAAGGTTTAGGATTTGACAGAACACAAAGAATGAATGCACCTACGCCATTGCAATCGGTTTCGGGCCATGTCATTCAAGGTCTCTAACCATTGGTAACTTTCGTCTCCCGGACCCCAACCAGGTCAGTCAGTCAGTCAGATGCAACGTAGAACTTTGTACATAAGTACATCAGTAATCGTCAATTCAAATCCAATAGTAGAAGAGGTAGTAAGGGAATTAGAAGTAATCCGAGAGGTTAGGGTTAGAAGATACTATTCAAGAAGTATGATTCAGTGGGAAAAGTTTAGAGAGTCGAAACTACAGGGGTTGAAGAATCCAGGAGATTAGGATTTGAGAGAACACAAAGAATAAATGCACCGGCGCCATTGCGAACGATTTTGAGCCATGTCATGCAAGGTCTCTAACCATCGATTATTATCATCTCGCGGACCCCAACCAAGTAGTCGACAATTACCGACATGGCTCAGTCCACTTGTCAATGACTTCATGGATTTCTGCCATGTTTTGGTCTCACCGCCCCTACCTTTCTTCCAACCTATTCCTACACTACAAAACAAAGCTCGTCGACGCAGTCGGTGGTTAGGCATACGCAACACATATCCTAACCACCTCAACTGATGGAGTTTCAACACTTTATCTATTGATTTGCCATCCTTACCTAGCACCCGATTCCTAACAACATAATCGCTTACTCGGTTGTCCCATGATACACGAGCAATGATACGAAGACACCTATGATCGAAAACCAGTAACCTACAAATATCTTCTACTCTGACTGGCCATGTTTCACAGCCATAAATTAAGACGAAGCGAACTACTGAGCAGTACACTCGTCCTTTAGTCAGCAAACGGATATCTCGCCTACGCCATAGGTGACGCAGGTTGGCAAAAGCTAATCGAGCCTTCTGTATCCCTGCTGGGATTTCGTCAGTCACCAGGCCATCGGCACTGATGAGACTCCCAAGATAAGTGAAGCGGTCTACACGTTCGTCTACTTCACTCCCTATCACTAGTTCAGGTGCCGATGCAACACAGTCTTGGAGCAGCATTTTGCATTTCGAGGGGGAAAACCGCATCCCGAACATGCTTGCATTGTTGCTTAGGGTAGTCAGAAGACTCTGCATTATTTCAGCATCTTCACCAAGTAGGACATTGTCATCGGCATATTCTAAGTCGATAAGCGAGCCTCCTGGTAGAAGGTCTACTCCAGAAAATTCAGACGAGGATAATGTTATATCTAGGAGCATGTCTATGATAAAATTAAACAAGAATGGAGAAAGTGGACATCCCTGACGGACACCATTTGCAGTAAAGAATTCAGATGACAGTTCGCCATAAGCTCTCACTCGACCAGTGGTGTTCGAGTAGAGAGCTTGTATGAGGTTAATGTACTTCTTTGGTACACCTTTTAATGACAGACTGCCACAGAACCTCAAGATCCACTGAGTCAAATGCCGCCTTAAGGTCTAGGAAAACAACTATTGTAGGACGCCTAAATGTGTGTCTATGTTCCAGGACCTGTCTGAGTGTGAAGACGTGGTCTATACAGCCGCGTCCAAGTCGAAAACCAAACTGGATTTCTCGAGTCTGCTCTTCACGAGCTTTCGTTAAGCGTCGAAGTATTATTGAGGCCAGTATTTTAGATACTATATTAGTTAGACTTATTTCCCTGTGATTGTCACAAGAAGACTTTTGTCCTTTCTTATAGATTGGGACAATCAAGGATTGAGACCAGTCGGATGGGATTGCGTCCAGTTCCCAGATCCTACCTAAGATCTCAGTCAACCTAGCTGCTAAAACTGGACCACCATCCTTAAATATCTCAGGGGTTAGTCTATCAGGACCTGCAGCTCGTCCTAGTTTCAGATTTCCTAACGCTTTCTCAACGTCATTAAGACTAGGGGGACTTACGTCGATTTGCCATTCAGGATGACTGGAGATCGTGGGTAACCGAAGAGTGGCTCGTGGCCAGTTGAACTGATCCCTAAAGTGTTCTGTCCATCGATCCAGTCTCCTGGATTGAGAATGGATAATAAGACCATCCTTTTCCGAGATAGTCTCACTCACATTCGGGTTCTTAATACCAGTTTCTTTAATAAGGCGGAAAAGTTGGCTACTGTTGCCTATCGCC